GACATCTCGAGTGATGTCCCTTGGAGAAGAGTCTTATATCAAAGTATCGAGCATCTGTATCAGAATGAACTGCACCAAAAGTCTTCTACTTTGCCTTCTTTGTGCTTCGGCGTCAGAGGAGTTGTCGGAATACGGAAGATAGTTTATCCATGATGACATCAGCAGTCACTTTTCAGCTCACCTCTCACGTGATGTTGACTGGGCAAATAATTGGAATAAGAGAGATATCATAGCCATGCCGCTGTAGAGACGTCTTAAGGTCGTCTATAGGGGCCATCATCGAGGAAGTCAGATCCAGGTATAGTTTTCGATCTATGAATAACTAATAACTACCAGAGTGTACAATGCAGAGATATGTACAGCAGGTCTATCTATACTCAATAAACGCATCAAAGAGTACATACAACATCCTCCATCCTCAAGCTGCTTTCTTCCCCTCACGCTTTTCTCCTCACTCCGCACGCAAATCCTGAAGGGAAAAAACATCTCCAAGATTACGTCATCTCAGCCGAAAGTAAGAGCCGAAAGTGATTCAGCCGAAGAAAATATTTGTATATAACATGGAACAAACGCCCCATGCTTGATCCTCCGTCTTTTCTTTTCTGCTCAGGGTACGCATTACTTATATATATCAATTGGTTTTAATATTTATATATATAGATAGCGTTCCAGCATGTCCACCCTCTCGACCGCCTTCGCTCGCTCCGGAGATCACCCGGCTGTGATCGTTCCTGGGAAGCCAGCACCGTTCATTGCCAGCTATGCGACGCTCAACGCTGACATTGCGGCCTTTCAAGAGAAACTGGCGAAGCTAGGCATATCTCACGGCGCTGCTGTGTCCATTGCCTTGACCAATTCATACGAGTTCATCGTTTCGTTCCTTGCGACTTCCTGGCAGCGGGCCATCGCCGCACCGCTTAACCCAGCATACAAGCAGGATGAATTCGAATTCTACATCGACGACCTGAGCTCTTCACTGGCCCTTGTTCCGAAGGGTGCGTATGCTCAGAACAGTGCTGCCGTGAGAGCGGCGAAGAAGTATAATGCGGCAATTGCGGAGTGTTACTTTGACGGCTCCAGGGTGGTGCTGGATGTGAAGGAGAGCGGCAAGTTGGCTGGGAAGGGAGGCCTACAGGTCCAGGCTGCTCAGCCAGACGATACTGCCCTTGTTCTCCACACAAGTGGAACGACTGGTAGACCCAAGGCTGTACCGCTCTCACATAAAAACCTGACCAGGACAATGAGTGGGTGTTGGCTAGTTTGTTGGAGATTTTTATTGTCATGCTAAATACATTCTCGTTAGGAAACATCCAAGCTACATACTCTCTGACGGGTAATGACCGAACTTATCTTGTTATGCCGCTCTTCCACGTCCACGGGCTTCTCGCCGCTTTCCTCGCCCCGTTACAGTCTGGAGGGTCCGTCGTTGTGCCTCCCAAGTTCTCTGCTACCGATTTCTGGTCGGATTTCATCACGTACAAGGCCAACTGGTATACGGCGGTGCCGACCATACACCAGATCCTACTCAAGCATCCATTCCCATCTCCCATGCCAAAGATCCGTTTCGTCCGCTCTTGCTCGTCACCGCTGTCTCCCAAGACATTCCACGAAATAGAACGTGCATTCAATGCTCCGGTTCTCGAAGCATATGCCATGACCGAAGCCTCACATCAAATGACAAGCAACCCTCTACCGCCAGGCAAAAGACTGCCAGGGAGTGTTGGTATCGGTCAAGGTGTCGAGGTAGGCATCCTGGATAGCGATGGCAAGGAAGTTCCCCAAGGATCTGAGGGAGAGATCTGCGTGCGCGGTGAGAACGTCACCAAGGGTTATCTTAACAACCCTGCCGCCAACAGATCGTCGTTTACCAAAGATGGCTTCTTCCGCACTGGCGATCAGGGCAAGAAGGACAAGGATGGTTATGTCTACATCACCGGTAGAATCAAGGAGTTGATCAACAAGGGTGGAGAGAAGATCAGTCCTATCGAGCTGGACAATGTCATTGCTCAGAACCCGCATGTTGCAGAGGCTGTCTCCTTCGCTATCCCAGATAACATGTATGGAGAAAATATCGGTGTGGCTGTCGTCCTGAAGAAGAAGGGAAGCATATCAGAGGACCAGCTGAAGGCGGAGATAGCGCCAAAGGTCGCCAAATTCAAAGTCCCTCAAAGAGTAAGCATTGAAACAAACCTCCTTGAGCTTCAATTGAACCGCAGTCGTACTAACCACTGCCATCTAGATCTGGATTCTCCCTGAAATCCCAAAGACCGCTACAGGTACGATACTATCTCGTTATACAATGGCCATTACATGCAACTAACCCGTTTTTTTTGTCTAGGCAAAATCCAGCGCCGAAAGGTTGCAGAGGCGATGCTCAAGAAAGATTCATCTTCAAAGCTCTAGCCCGCCTTTGATCATCTTCCGCAAGGCCGTTCACGTCTTTTGAATAGATTCTCATTTCTTGGATACTTATTACCATTTTCACGACTAACTATATTTACCTATATATACACCTGGATATCTCTAGACACCCATAAAATTTGTCAATAGTTTCGATATGTATGATATAACTATATATGCCAATGCTAGAACAGTCAATACTTCAGCACATCTCGTAAAAGTCGGCCGATATTCGTATAAATAGAGATCTTGGCTCTGTTTACTCTCTACCCCGGCAAAAAGGCGAAGAACCGCCGTTACGTCGTATTATATAACGACAGTTTATATCGCGGTTCTTTTCCCCCTTGCTGGCCTTTCTCTTCCTCGGGTTTACCTAAATAAACTTGCTGCAAACATGCACCCCGCGGTCTCCCTGCGGGCTTCCTCCTCTCTCTCGGCTGTCGCTCCTCTCATCCGCCTCTCCAGCCGTGTTCACACTTCATCTCTGCTCTCTACGTCTCAGCTCCGTTTCCGGCAGCAAGTTTCTCTGGCTCGCAACATGGCTACTTCAGCGCCGTCAAAGAAGGAGTGGATTGTCATGCTACCTGATAAGCCGGGCATGCTGGCGAAGAGGTTGGAAGTTCGAAAGTGAGTTGAACCATCTTTTGGCCTGACATGAGTCCGTGAAGAAGAACACTGACATGTATATAGCACCCATCTCCAAAACCTCAACCCGATTCTGGACTCTGGGTTCCTGAAGATGGGAGGTAATATGCATCTACCGTCTAAATACCGTTGATGACTCAAGTCTCACGTCTTTGGCTATAGGTTCGACCCTTGAACACCACCCGGCGGAGGGAGAAAACCCGCCACCAATGACTGGAAGCTCCCTCATTGTCGCCGCCGACACCGCCGAGGAGATTCGTGAGATCTTATCCAAGGATATCTACGCTACCTCTGGCGTATGGGATCTCGACAACGTAGGTGCTCTCTTACCATTTGAAATTTGGCCTGTGCTAACCTTTATCTCGGTAGATGAAAATTATTCCAGTGAGCTTACCGTTCTAGATATGGTATGGGTAACAGCTAACGTACATGATAGTTCAAGTGTGCTATTAGGACCGCTCTGTAGAAAGGCAGACCAAAGATTACGGTGTATACATGGAATAGTTCAATAGTGCTATTTCAATCTGGTCCTTTTATATAATAGGATAGACTTAGTCTATAGCAAATTACGTTTGTTTAGACCTTGATCTAGAGACGTTAGCGTATTAGGTATGGAATCAGATTGGGAATTGAGCGGGGGAATTATTATACATAAACCCAGTGAAAGTCCCACCTCTTGTACTGAGTTATAGCCATGGTATCGCGGTTATCATACACAAAATAGTGCAACGAAGATACTTACAAATCGGAATCTAACAGACCCATCATGTATTGGTTGTCAAGAAACCAGTCCCCAAGAGTGTGTGACATGTCAGTCTCCATCATCTCAGGTGGCATTTGGAATGCCGCTATGGGATGGTCATTCGGGTCATTAAAATTGGTGTTACTGTTGCCATCAGCTGTCTCTGGAGTCAGAGTGTTAGGCCCAAACCCAAGAGAAGTAAGATATTCGTCAAAGGCTTCTCCCGGCTTTGGAATCACAGGATAATCATGCGGTTCCTTCGGTTGAACGTCTACATATAATTTTGCGACCTGATAGAAGACCAGACATAGCCGGTATAATCGATCTGCTGCTTCAGATACATCAGCAGCCGCTTGGAGGGAAGTTGCAACTTCGCCAAGTAGTTTAAGGTCATCGAGGTCAGACGCTGCAATTGTATGGCAAAACGTTACCATGAACGGGGCAAAGGGGCATTGAAGAAGGACCCTAATAGGCGTATGTTAGTGGCTGTTTGATAACGCAATGGTCACAAAGGTCAAGGCTACCAAGTAATGTATCCACTAAAGAAGAACGAATCGGCCTTCTCCAGAGAGAGGAATATCTGTTGGTGGATCTGCAAAGCCTTTCGGGCTGCTTGCACACACTGTAGGTTGAGCCCAGAGGGAGTCTCAGGGGGTTGAGCTGTAGGTGCAGCACGCTGTATTATAGTAGCCATTAGGTTGTAGGTCAGCTCTGATGCAGGGACAATCCATTGTATGTGTGCTTTATGGTAGGCTTCCTCGGTATCGATCTAGAAACATAGTCAGAAATAATGCTAGTGATTCAAGACCCATTCTGTAAGACAGTAACCAGTTACTAACAGCAATTATTTGATCTCTCCATTCTCGAAGTCGAAAACTTAATTCGTAGATTTTCTTTGCCCGAACTTCTGCGCTCGAAGAAACACCCTTGACTGAGTAGAGATGCTCGTAAACCTCACCAGTTATTTTGGAGCAATCAAGCCAGTAGCGAAATAATATGTGCCATGGTCGAAGTGACGGATCTGGTGATAATGACGGATAGGGAAGTGCAATATCGTAATCTGGAAGTAACGCAGCCCTTCCTAGGCAAAGAGATAGGCTTCTGTCCATCGAGTATATGAACCAGAAGAGGAATTCTTTCACCCTGACATCTTCTGGCTTATCATCTTCAGTAGAAACAGACCGATGGTAACCAAGGCTCTGGGCCATTCGAGCTGCGCTCGCCACAAAGGTCCAGCATAGGGATATTTTTGCGGATTCGGTTGCGTGAAGTATCTACAATTTTCAGGGTTATAAGTACATGTTGCCATTGTTAGAAGTCAGATAGCAGTGAACGGTAGACGTACAGCGTATGTCAATGCCATAAGGTTATCCAGGCTTGGTTCCGTGAGTATATCAAAAGAACTGATCACTGCTATGAAATTTGACATGCAGAGTTCACTATACTCGTAAAACTTGGCCGTGGATGGGTCATCTTTGAACCGAAAAGCTATCTCTTTAAAGAGATGCCCCAGTATAGAGTTGACTGAAGCAAATCGTCCAGACGAGTATTCCTCTGTACAAAAGTAGAGATCTTTACACATTTGTGTAAAATGAGGGAGGTTCATCGCCGGTAGGGTAAGGAAGAAAAGAGGTGGATTATCTAAAGTATCAACCGGGTTAATATATCAACATCAAACAGTCAAATTGTGCGAGGGTAATATTCTAAACATGCCATTTGCAAGTCTGAGCAGGGTCAACACAGCGTTTGAAGGGGGTAGTTCCAAATCAGAGAAATTTATTCTCTTCCTGGGTGGCTGCCCCGGGAACCTTAGGACATTCACGGACGATGGGAGTGATTGTCGTTTTATAATGTCTTGTAGTGCAGATAAGGCGTGAGACATCATGGGTACATGTGCAAAAGGTATTCTTTTCATGGCATTTTCAAAAAGTGCACCCGCATGCATTGAATGAGCACTAAACGACGATTCTCCCTCGAACTCAGGAGTGCGCTTTGCCGGAGGCTCTTCTGAGCCTTGTAGAACCAATGGTACATTTGACCCTTCATTATGCCTAGATGACGGCGGCTCTGGGATCTTGGGCCCGGACTGTACAGCCGTAGCCGCAGGCAATGAGAGAGTGAGATCCTGCAACAAGCGCTCTATAGTCGAAAGGCGCTCATCAATGGTCTCGATCTTCTTTTCACTATCATGGAATTTAGAAAACGTCCCTGTCTTTGAATATCTGCTTTTGCAACCGGGATAATGGCATAATTACTATTGATGCGAAATTAGCACTCGTTGGCGCTGCTCCTTCACCCGGGGGGTGGTCCGACATATTGTCTTCCCAATTCGGCAATTAGAGCATGGCGAGGTTCTATCGCATTTTATCTGGGGCCGGATATTAGCTTAATTGTTTAGATAACTATGGCACAAAAGCCGGTAGATCTTTGCTTACTTTTCGAAGGCGACAGTTATCACACTGATTGAATGTGAGGTAATCGACGCCATGATTAGCTAGGTGAACACGCATAGGGTTCTATATGTCAGGTATTACCGCTCTCTGGGATGCCACATTCTTTTGGCCAGCTGGCGGAGCATCACTATCTCTTGATTCGGCCGTATCCATATTGTTGCTGTTGATCTTGGAACAGCTGCCACGGGCTGGCAGTTAAATATTAGTTCAAACCAAACTATGCACCATTTTTTTTCAAGTGATGTCCTCGCTTTCTCCACAGGAGGAGAATCTGGACTTTATGCAATCCTAGTTGCTTTGCTGCCTATTTTCCAAGCTTCTTGGACGGGCGAAACCTCGTATCGCTGTGAGCGGCATCAAAGGGGCGAGTCATTGTCACGTGAAAACTCTCGTCCATGAGGCGAGTTTACCAAAGTATGAGAAATCATGGAATAAACTGAAGGCCAAAACACCCGAATTGATAAATAAGTCTTGTAGATAGTTGACATGGCAAGTCATAATCATATATCTCCCAGAGCATCGTCTTCTGTAAATCTCGCCGCAGCACACATTTTTCATAAGAAATATAAACCCAAAACGCGGCGTCTTCAATTCACAAAGGGTATCCTAAGGAAATAACAGTTGTTAAAAAATTTCTATGCTCTCTACCCAAAGCCAGAAACATCCAAAAAACCGTTTAGAGCAATAGATGGCAAAATATCCATATCCAAATCATAAATGTTAAATGCAGCAAGACTCCAAGCGAACACCAAATTCTCTTTCAGATATTAACGATAGAGATCAGAGCGTAAGAATGAACTCTCTAAAGGCCTGTGGTAGTGTTGGTCACTACTGTGCCTTGAGAGTAGTTATGAGAAAGGGTCACAGAGATAGGAGGTTGCCCAAATAGTGGAGGTCCTGTATATAGATTTCCAAGGATGTTTTGCCGCATTTCGTCTTCATCCCAAATAAACTGTCGCCCGCGACTTAACCTCTCCTTGCGAGCGTTGAGCTCTGTCTCATCGATAAACGGCCTTCCAAGGCCACATTGACTTTGGGTAAGCAAAAACTGAAACAGGGTAGAACGTAATTTGTCCCAAAGCCTGCCATGCTGCTCCCATTCTAACCGTTTCGCAACGCGCAGCATCCTCGATACCAGCCAGCTTCTTTCGCCAGAATCGGACTTTTCGTCGTATTGGAACCCACCATTGTTGAGGAATATCCAGAGGAGTGAGGCGATGCTTGGACTCGACCGTGGATTTACTCCCCTTATTGCCTGGTTAACCCAGTTCAGATAGTCATCGAAGTTCTTATGGTTTAGGTAGCAGTCATGGAGAGCAAAGTTTAGATATAATAAACAAGCCATACAGGTGTATTCGTCGATGAAGCGGACATCGCGTATCCCGTGGTCATAGTCCGGAAGATTAGCTAGGAGTGTATAGAGTGGAGATGTTTCTTCAAAAGGCTTTGGTGGTCTGCCGAGTCCATCATTCGCCAACCTTAGTGGCGGGAGTGGTTGATTGTACAAAAATGCACATTCCAAGTCGTCAAGGGATCGAAAAAACGAAAGGAAATCTTCGCATGCCTGAAGAATGTCAGGGATATCATCAGGATCTTCGTTTGCGGGAATTTCCGTAGGAATCACGGGGATAACCTCGGGAGCTACAAAACTGATGTTTTTAGGTGGTATATCTGGTATTTCGCCAGTCCAGGGAAGACCAGCGCCAACAATAGCATTTGAAGCACAAGAAAAATCAACCCTGTGGAGGAGAGTCAGACTTTAGGCAAAAAATTCTTTAGGTAAGAATGGATACCTACCAGTAGACGACCTTTTCCAGGAACGGGCCTGTCGGGCTTCTTGTTCGCATTGCTTGCATGCCTCCTCGCCTTCGAATCAATTGCTTGATTCCCTGGAAATGCGTGCGTTCAACAACAGAATCTTTCGACCATTTCTAGTAGTTTATTAGCGTATCGTACGACGACATGGATATACAAAGTATTAAATGCTTACCTCGATAACAGTTAGACTGGCGACCGCATATAAAGTGCCATCTTCCTTGTCGATATCGTCATTCTTCAGCCGTTCCTTAATCAGTTTCAACGCCCGCATCTTGTGTGTCAGGGATTGGACAGTCTCCACCTGCCCCTCCATACCTGCCCTATGCTTTGCAGCAACGGCAAGCATGGCCTGAAATGGGACAGGGTCGTGAAGCGCTATATTATGAAAGATGGCCCGGATAGGGTTATCCTGCTGAACGTTTTCCATTTTATACATCATCATGGGATATTTTGTCACATCTAGAGAAAAATGAAAAGAGAACAAGTTAGTAGAGTTGCCTAGCTTGTGATACGCCTGGGGGAATTAGACTCACAGTGATCTATCAGCTCGTTATCAACCTCCTTTGAGACCAGCGGCAGACAGTTGAAGGGCTCATACGCAACGAGAGGTGACTCGGCTTTCGGATCAACCGGCCTCCATTCCGTTGAACTGGCGGGGGGGCTTGCGGTAGCACTTCTTCCAAGTTTATGTCCCGCTGCCGCCGCCGCTCGCTGACTGGCCCTGCGTTGAATCAGGCTGCGAGCTCTACAGGGAGCCTTGGGCTCGTCATCGTTCTCGAGCTCTTCTACCTTGGGTGAGGCGCTTGCTGTACTCGGCGTCTTCCCCGTCGACCATCCCGTAACCTGCACCCGTGTCGACTCCAACCGTGCTATACCATCGAGCCGCCGTTGATGGACATACTGCCGCATAGCATGGCGTCGAACCTGTCTTCTGGACTCGGAATCCGTGACCAGGACGAACTCAAAGTTTCGCGGTCCATCTGCGGCAGCTTGAGTTGACGGGGGGTTTGCGCCTGCATCGAGTGTTGCAGCGGACTTCCCCATACTGCCATTTTACACAACGAAGCGTCAGTCAGTCAAGGGATTGCGAGTGATCGAGCGAGAAGAAGATGAGTCTGACAGTCAGAGGGTCAGAGAGTGGGAGAGCTTCAGGGGAACAGCCTTGACTCTGGCGCCACCAGGCTCCTGACGATCTCCCCTTGTTAGCTCTCTCTCCAACCTGGGGAATATCCTGGCCGTCAAGCGTAGTGTATCTCGAGCAGAGAGACCCCAGCTATCCTGTCTCTCTCTCTCTCTCCTCTCAGGCCGCAAATCTTGAAACACTTTTACTTCCTCCTTTTTTTTTTTGGCTTCTTCACGAACTTCGAAATGATCGAAGATCGAAAGTTCCAAACGTGGAAAAAGGTGGGGAGGATCCACTGACGTCACGTGCTGTAGCCATTTATAGATTCAGTATTAATAAGATATTAGTAATACAACCATTGTTAGTAGAGTATGATGATGATAGTAGATATTAGTAGAGTGATATGTAAATAGAGGTGGATAGTATAATGGATGATGGTGAATATTGTGTATATAGAAATCCAAAGATATAGAGGCATAGATAAGTAACTAGTTATGTGTTTCGATACTTGGACAAGGCAGTCAGGATGCCCTCACTGACTCCATCCGATGATTCCTTCTGGCCCTCTGCTTCTTTCATGGCCTCCAGCGCCGCCTCATCTTCATCTCCATCAGCTTCTCCCTGGTCAGGCTGAGGTTGCTTTCCGTCACACAATTTTGCAAGAGGGACAGGGACCTTCTCGGTCCTAAAGTCTTCCTGCACGGCGTTTGTCCATTGCTTGACCTTCCTCTCGCCCCATCCGGGAACGGCACTGATCTGCTCTGGCGGTGCATTAACCGCGTCTCGCAATGTCCCAAATGTAGACATCAGGCTGGCCGCATCTGACTTGTTGATGCTTCGAGGAGCAGTGACAAACTCCACCAGGCTATCTTTGTAAGACTGTGCCTGTTTAGACTTGATTGCAGTTGGCTGTGCGTGCTCACTTGATTTGAACAATTCCAGGTAGTGTGCCGCTTCTGGTGCAGACCAGCACAGGATAATGGTCAGGTTGTTGACCAGGCATGTCTTCGACAGCTCCTTCAAGCTATCCTCGTGGTTTGGGATGTCAACCATGGTGAGAAGTATTCGCAGCCTGAACTTTCCTCCTAGAGCTTTTATTCGAGTGTAGATGTATTCTGGATGCAGCCGGTGGTATTTCAACGACAGGAAGAGTGCGCAGCTAGTTGTTCCGACCAGATAGTCGGCGGGTATATCTGCATACTCCCACGGTGTCAGTCGTATATGGTGCAATATCGGGTTTCCCTTCTGCCTTGGCGACACAAGGATGGATGAAGGCCCTCGACGTGCCGGCAGGGCCTGCGGCTTGGGCTGTTGGACTCTTGGTGCTGGCTCTGGCCGTTTCTTCGCTGGTGCTGAGGCTGCCTTCTCTACCGCTTCACTGGACACCAGGATGTCGTGGAAGCCTTGTATGTCTCCATATTCGTCGTCCATAGCCGTCTAGTTCCACATGTAGAATCGTCATATCCTTTCAACCATTGTATTCTTCTTTGCTACTTTGGGTAGCTTTTATAAATGCGGTTGCGGCTTTCGTGATGGCTCCACAGGCTGGAAGCTTAAAAAAAGTTTCGTAACTATTTTGTTATTTTTTCCCCGTTCAAAAAAAAAAATCGTCTCCAGGCTTCGGAAAAGGCGAAGTTGAAAGATGGCAGAGAACAATAAAAGAAGGAGACTATCAGTCAGTGGAAGCTTCAAGATGGATGAAAATATACCAACTGCCAATGCCACAGCCGAGAAGACCACTCTCGACACAGACCAAGCGCCTGCCAAAGAGCGCAAAACCAGAACGCTCTTCGTGCGATCTCTACCCTCGACGGCAACAACAGAATCATTGACGGAATATTTTTCACAATCCTACCCGCTAAAGCATGCCACCGTTGTGCTTGATCCGCAAACAAAACAATCCAAGGGCTATGGGTTCGTTACTTTTACAGACCATGAAGATGCTCAATCGGCGGCCAAGGAATTGAACAATTCAGTGTTTGAAGGAAAGAAAATAAAAATTGAGTTCGCTGAGCCCCGTCATCGGGAGATAGATGAAAAGGAAGGGAAGAGCGTGCCATCTTCGGTGCCATCAAAAGCAAAGGAGCTCAAAGAGAAACGAAGACTAGAGTCACTGCCTCCAAAACTTATAATACGAAATTTACCGTGGAGTGTCACCGAGCCAGAGCATTTGGAACAGCTATTTAGGAGTTATGGGAAGATTAAACATGCTATTGTGCCGAGGAAAGGGTCGCGAGTAGCCGGCTTCGGATTCGTGGTTATGAGAGGGAGAAAAAATGCGGAGCGGGCAATTGAAGGTGTCAATGGTAAGGAAGTTGATGGACGGACTTTAGCTGTCGACTGGGCGGTTGACAAGAATGAGTGGGATAGTATGAACAATGCTGCGGAAGAGGCAGCTAGTAATGAAGTGGCGGGAGAAAGTGAAGAGGCGGATGAAAAAGAACATCTTGATGTTGTCGACGATGGAGAGGACGAGGACGAGGAAGATGGAGGAGTTGAACTCGGTGATGAAGATGATGAAGACGACATCTCCATGGGTGAAGCTGAAGATGATGATTTAGAAGAGGAAGAAGAAGAAGAAGATAAAGAGGATGAACGGAATGCATCGACAATATTTATCCGCAACTTGCCTTTCTCTGCTACGGATGATACTCTTTACGAACACTTCTCCAAGTTTGGTTCTCTTCGTTACGCCAGGGTTGTACTTGACCCAGCAACCGAACGGCCAAAGGGTACGGCATTCGTCTGTTTCTACAGAGTTGAAGACGCTGCAGCCTGCATTCGTGGAGCACCCAGAGAGACAGACTCAGCTCGAAGCAAAGACCCTAGACAGAAAGCTGCTACGAGACAAATGCACTCTGTACTTGAAGACGAGAATAACGATCCCACCGGGAGATATACGATGGATGGTCGTGTACTACAGGTGTCGCAAGCAGTGAGCCGAACAGAGGCCGGGAGGCTTGAGGAGGAAGGGAGCTCACGACGTGAAGCTCGAGACCACGACAAACGTCGACTATTCCTACTTTCAGAGGGAACGATTCCATCCAACTCTCCAGCATACGCTAAACTCTCTGAAACGGAGAGGAAGATGAGAGAAGCCAGCGCTAAACAGCGACAAAAGCTTATCAAGTCTAATCCCATGCTGCATGTCAGTCTTACTCGACTATCTGTCCGTAACTTACCACGGCATATCGACTCCAAGGCACTGAAAGCACTCGCACGTGAGGCCGTTGTTGGGTTTGCAAAGGACGTCAAGAATGGACTTCGTAAACCAATATCATGGGAGGAATCTCGCCGAAGCGCCGCGTTGATGAAGGAGGCTGATCATCTTCGAAAAAGCCAGAAGAAAGGAATCGTCAAGCAGGCAAAAGTCGTTTTCGAAGGCAAGGATGGCTCCAAGATGAACGACAAGGCTGGAGCTGGCAGGAGTAGAGGCTATGGCTTCATCGAATACGCCACGCACAGAAACAGTCTGATGGGCCTTCGGTGGCTCAATGGCCATGCGATTGAATCACCGAATGCTGACCCTGCAGATAGAAAGAAGCGGCTCATTGTCGAGTTTGCCCTTGAGAATGCACAGGTTGTGAACAGGAGGCGAGAACGAGAAATGAATATTCGAAAGGCTGCCCAGGCCAACGCTGAGGATGGGCCCCAGCGTGGCGTCAAACGTAGCTTGGATGATAAGGGCGAGAAAGAGGCCAAGAGACCAAGGGGAGGGAAGGGACATAGAAAGAGTCTCAAGATGACCAACGGCAAAGGAGGAACAAAACCAGACGAGAAATCCTCGGATAAGGCCTCCTCTGCGGAGAAAGGGGCCAAGGAGGACAAGAACAATGACATTGCTAAGAGGAATAGGATCATTGCCAAAAAGCGGATGCTAAGGAAGAATAGAAAATGAGTATGAATGTTGCTGATATTTAGCGAGTGTTTACAAAAAACGCTATATTAAAAAAAGGGGTTTATGCAGAGGCGTTCGTCCGTTGTTCAGGATAGAAATAATACACTCATTGAAATAATATTGAACTAGAATACCTATGTGCATTTAACCGCAACTACACTGGAGAAGGAAAAGGAGAATTCATTAGTTATATTTATAGGTTAGTTGCTCCCGCAACCTTGCCTACAATGTTGTATCTCTTGCTGAAGAATTTAAACCAGTCTTCTAGGACGCCCTTCTCCTTGTCGCCCAGGTCACTCCACTGGGGAACACAGTCCTCTGGCTTCAAGGACGACTTTGCAAGAGCTCTGGAAGAATCCTTGCCAGCGAATACTACATTTAACCCGTCAGCATAAGATGTAAGTGTGGTACTATATCGCCCACTCGTGCTCACCATTATAATTTCCCCCCTTAGCATATGCTGGGTTTCCAGAGACATCAAAGACGGTTCCCTTGATGGCAACGAGAGTAGGACGGCTAGGATCAGAACCTGCCACAAAAGAAACAAGAAGTCAATAAAACGGTGGTTGAGCAGGGCTTAACACAGAGAACCGGCTAGGTTTACCGTCAGATTTTGCTAGGTCTGCAACCGAGATAGGGTCATCCTTTGGTGGGTTGAGATTTGTGGCCACGGGAGTCATGATGCTCTTTGGGTCAGCCATGGTTGATCAGTAGGTATGCGAGGGCGCTCTGACTGGCTTCTCCTCTCTGTATGGATAGCTATGTTGCAGTGTCTGCTTGCACGGAGTTGAGGATAGCTTTTTGGCGATTGTTCTGCTTCTCTCAACTTCCAAGGGCTGAAGTTTTGGTGGGGAGAAAAAGATGCCCCGCATTAACCGCCATCGCTACCAATTACGATACTAACTACCAACTATTGATCACCATGATGATGACCATAATAGACACTCTTCGTTCATGAAGAAGCATAGACAGCTGCAGATGATACGTACACCTACTTGATATTGATGCGCAGAGACTCTTCTGTGGTATACTATATCTGCTTCTGTACGATCAACTTTCAACCCTCCAGCTTCACGATACTTGACCTTCTATATAGGTATTCCATAGATTCCGATTGCTACAATGGCCTTGAAAAGGTTCAACGCTCATAAACTTGGAGCTCTTCTTCGTGATAACTCCTGCGAAATACATTGATGCATGTCGAGTTCTTCTCTGAAACGCTCTCTTGTTAAGGTTCGACCTGTCATAGAAGCAAGCTAGCTATGTGATGCCAACAACCAATGTTTCCTACGCCATTAACAATCCAACAGATGCTAATATCATCACCCCTTAGTGCCAAGGTCATGGTTAATGCTTTTCCCGGCTGCCAATGAACCCTATGAGCCCTAAGTTAGTTATGCAACATATGGGGCATTTGACGTCTTTTGCGAAAACTCGGTGCAAAAATATAACTAGTTCTTATGCGGTGGCAAGGAAATCGCATTTTTATTTTCTTTCCATGAGACAAAAAAGAAAAAGAAAAAATAAAAAATAAAGACGACTTTTGCTAACATTTATGATGCGTGCTTGCTTGTGGAAGCTAAAAATTTTCACAGCGCTTTCCCGAGGTTGATCTGCCCAAGCTCGCTTCAGTTGGCGGCCCATAGTTATCTCTTTATTCTTCCGGAAAAAAGTCGTTAACGAGGGTACCCAAACGATACCAGAGGAAGAGGGAAGCTATAAATATTTATTTCGCCTTTTATATGAAGCTCCACTTGTTTGCCGTTGAGCTTTCTCCATGATCCTTTACAAAGTGTTCTCGTCTTCATTTTATTCTCGTCTCTCGGATCCTGCAGAGAGCTTACAGCATAAACCATGGGGACCACATCCCGAAGACAACAGCCCACAACAAGGGAAAAGGGCCCAGATGAACTTCCTGCATATCGACAGAGTGTCGATGAAGCCGCCAGCGGATCAGAAAAGATCAGTACTGACCACACGCATCGCAATCTGAAGCCTCGACATATCCAATTGATAGGAATCGGGGGGACTATCGGCACCGCTCTCTTCGTCCAGATTGGGAAAGGTTTGTTGAGTGGTGGACCAGCAAGTTTATTCATTGCATTTTCTTGGTGGTATGTTTTCTCTCCCATGTACCCTATATACATACCCTTCAGGCGGTGCCTTTGGTTACTTCGTTGAAGAAGCATCCTCTTCGTTGCTTGTTATCATCTTGTGAGTTCTATACCCATTCAAATGCTTTGGAAGAGACATATGAGGCAGATGTACCGCCCTTATAGGCGTGATTGCCCTCCCTATCTATGTGGATAGCAGAAATATTGTTCATAGCAGTATGGGAAATATTTGATCCTTGTTACGGGCATCGTTCAACTCAGCTTCGTTGTTGCTTACCTGCTGTTATTCTTTCATTGGAGTCTTCTCATACGTGAAAATAGGTGTACCTTCATCCTGGCCATTACAATGTGTAAGAATCCTCGGTCTGTTCTATATCATCCCCATAGACGCCATCGCATAGCAACCGGTTTCTGCCAATAAGCACCAACTCCCCAACGCAACAAATACAACTATGGACTGTCTAACTTACCTCGTGCCTATTCTACGAAAGAAATCAATCTTTGTTGCTGTCTTTTCCTATGCCCATAAGTTCATACTAATAGTCAATTGCTGGGAATATAGGCACGGCTGAAATGGTAACATATTTACCTATATCTTCACCCTTCGTCAGATTCGCTGGTCGTTTTGTTGACGAGGCTTTCGGAGTCGCCGTTGGATGGAACTTCTTCATCTTCGAGGCTGCTCTGGTTCCGTTTGAGATCGTGGCTTGCAATTTTATCATTCATTATTGGAGTGATGCCGTGCCGGCAGCAGTCATTATTACTATCATTATCATTCTATACGGGTACGTCTATAAACTCCTAATTATAAAACTACCTCTTGAGTTAACATGATCTAACTAACTCCCCATTAATGTATCAGAGCATTCAACATATTCACAGTCCAATGGTATGGCGAGTCGGAATTTTGGCTCTCACTGGGCAAAGTCATACTCATTGTCGGTGTGTTGTGCTACACGTTCGTCACCATGCTGGGCGGAAACCCCATAGGCGATCGATATGGGTTTCGGTATTGGAAGGATCCTGGAGCCTTCACTACAACTTACAAGCCAGGCAGCCTTGGTTTATGGCTAGGTTTCCTTCAGTGCCTGATACAAGCAAGTTTTACTATTGCTGGGCCAGACTATGTTTCCATGGCGGCTGGCGAGGCAGAAAACCCTAGAGCAACGATGCCGAAAGCCTACAAGGCTGTGTTCTACAGATTGACAGCGTTCTTCATGCTTGGAAGCCTGGCCGTTGGTATTAATGTGCCATACAACGACAAGACCATGCAAGATGCCTTCTCAAAGGACCTCCCAGGTGCCACTGCATCTCCATATGTTATCTCTATGCGCAGACTTCAGATCCGCGTACTTCCTGACATTGTCAATGCCATGGTCCTCTCGGCTGCTTTCAGTGCCGGGAATAGTTACGTCTACTGTGCTAGCAGATGCCTTTATGGCCTAGCTCTCGAGGGGAAAGCGCCTCGCATCTTCACCCGCTGCGCAAAGAACGGAGTGCCCATCTACTGTGTGGGCGTTGTATTGCTCATTGCGCTACTGAGCTTCTTGCAAGTCTCGAACAATGCCTCTGTCGTCCTGCAGTGGTTTGTCAACCTCGTTACAGCATCGCAGCTGCTTAACTTCTCGGCGATAACATTCACGTATATCAGATTCTACAAGGCGCTGAAAGCTCAGGGTATATCGAGGGACTCGCTACCGTTCAAGGGTCGGTTCCAGCCTTACCTGGCATATTATGCCTTTATTGGACCGTTTACCATGGTCTTTGTGGGCGGTTACCAGGTCTTTCTGCCAGGGAAATGGAATATACCGACTTTCCTCTTCTCTTATACGATGATTGCAGTTTGTCCATTGATATTTCTGGGATGGAAGTGGTTCAAGCGCACCAAGTTTTTGAAGCCTGAAGAGGTAGATTTGATTGATGGAGTGGAGGAAATCGAGGTATACACTCGGAATTATGTACCAATGCCTCCAAGGTAAGGACCGCTTCTCCCTTGCTGCCTCTCTGGTTGGTTGTTTCCTACAGTGTGATGTACAGTTCGCTAACCCTTTTGTCTCTTAGGAACCTGTTTGAGAAAATTTTGAACTTCATATTTTAAGAGAAGATACCCCTTTTTCTGCCGGTTCGGCTAATTGGCGTCTCTGATTGTTGAGGCCCCGGACATTGTAGACCCTATTTAGAAGACATATTCTTATTCTCTTGTATGAAATGGTGAACTTTCTCTATCTGTCACCGGAACCACCAGTTGACCTGTTGGACGTTAGAAATCAAACTCTCGATAATTCTGAGAATGAAAAGAGATATGAATGTAATGTCTGCATACTCACAGAAGCTGTTATCCCCTGGCCGATGCCTTTGATACTATGCCACCACCCGGTTGGTATGAAAAGAGCATCCCCTGGATAAAGGATGGCATCATATCCGACGCCCTCACGCGTGATGGCGGACTCATCTTCGTCCTGTTCGGTATCGCCGCGGTTTCCCCAGACAGCACGGTCCAAGAGCTGTCTCTCTGCACCCTTCATCATCTCTTCACCTCTGATAGCAGAATTGATAGTATGACCTTGTCCAGCCTGGGCCGAGTCCAGGGCCTCTCTGACCTGCGCAAACACTCCACGCCCAGTATCCGGTGCCAGCAATCTGACGTGTTTCGAACCAGCCAGCTGCACGAACAGGTTCGGGTTCGGGTCCCGGTGTAGAGGAGTGTAGGTCGGCGCCATCCCAACCCATATGTTCGTATCGTAGATGTCGCCCTTCCCAGCCTGTCTGACATAGGAGGGCGTTGGGAAATCGTCCCGAAGCGAGCTCGGTAGGTCCAGCAGTTGACATTGAGCTAGGTACAGCCGCGGTGGTGTGTCCGTATCAGCCGCGGGCAATGCCTGCACCGTCCGCGTCCACCGAAGAAACAGACTCAATGGCCGGTGTGAGCGCTCAAAGATGCTTCCATCCTTGCTGTCGGGAGATGTAGTCAGCTCCAATGGGACATAGCAGTCCCCGTACTGCTCGAGGTAAGCGTAGTTGAGGCCGCGAGTTGACGCAGAAGACGATGGAGAGAACCACCGGGAGGCTGCGCGGTAGTCTCGAAAGAGGCCTCGAGGCAGGATAACCGGCTTCTGGGCCCTGAAAAAGGATTCACGGAAGAGCGCAACGCTGTCCTGCGCCAGAGTGTCGAGAGTGATGTATCGTAGAGCTGCCCTCATCGTCCTTGAAACTCCATGCCGGCGTAGTTTCTGACAGTCGGGATGCGCATCGCAGGAAGAAAATGAACCAAACGCCCCCAGCAGGAGAAATAGAATAAATAACCAATAGATATTGTATTGTAGGCTTGCTCGAGCCAAGCGACTAAAGGACGCCCCTCTTGCTCGACCTTTTTCTTGTCTCTCTCTCTCTCTCTTTATCCTTTCTTTTAGTTATTGCTTGAACTAGTTTAAAAATAATAGTTACCCCGGATTGCTTTTGCCGGCGTCAAGACCTTTAAAAGGAGACAGACAACTCTCGCCTGGCCAGCCCTGGGAGTGCGCTAGACCTTCGCCTGCTGTGAGAGCTCTTCAACAAATCAGAAACGAGACGAAGAATAAAAAGAAAGAAGGAGAAAAGAAGAGAAAAAGGGATGTCCTCGAAATCGCCAAACGACGGCCAGACGCCAACGGCGACGACGGACGATGCGAAGCGCAAAGCAGAGCCAGCCAGCGGGACACAGACACGGACGAAGCGGAATCGATATATTTCTCTAGCATGGTGCGACTCGTCTTTTCCTATGCGTCTTGTATCTATATATGAATGGACGGTTGAGGCTGACGGTTCTATAGCAATGAGTGCAAGAGGCGCAAGATCAAGTGTAACGGCCAGGTGCCCTGCCAGCGATGCGGACATCTATCTCTCGAGTGTACATATAGCCCTTTGAGCCTGCTGTCATTACTATCGAAGAGACGGACAAGCTAACCGGCTGCAGGTCTCTATTCACCGAACTGCTGTCAAAGCAATTTCAAGGATTCCGAGTATGTTCTTTCAGCTCCTTCAAGGGTGGGAAAGGGCTCTCGAACGACCGCTAATGCAGCCCTGACAGGGAGTTCCGGTCTATGAAAAACCACATTGAACGGCTTCAGGAACAGGTGAACTCGCTATTTGAGAATATCAATGGCCTTCACCGGCGGACGGAGTCGCCGGTTGTCGATGGCAGCCCCCAACTAAGCCGAGAAGCCTCACGATCGATATCCTGGCATCAGCCTCCGTTCGAGGCCCAAAACATCCAGATAGCGAGGCCGAGGGCGAAGCATCTCCGTTTCCATGGACCTACCAGCACGGCGTTCAACTTCGCGGTGGCCAAGTCGAGCCTTCAGACGATGGGGATCACCCATATAGATGACGGTACGCAGGAGATATATAATGCGCAAGACGCTACGCCCACCCAGACGCCTCCTTACCAGCCGGCTCCGATATATACGAATGCTCTGGCTTCGAATAAGGACCCCTTGTTCGCCATCAAGCGAGAGGAGGCCATTCGGCTGTGTAGAGTCTATGAGGAGGAGACAGGGCTGATGTATCCCATGTTCGACGTGGAAAAGATGATTACCCAGGTAAACCTTCTCTTTGCGTTTCTAGAGGCGGCAGATCGAAACGTCTGCACGGGGCGATCCAAGTCCAGCGCCGACTGTCTGAACGACGACGATACTGCCATCTTGAAGATGGTACTGGCGATAACCCTTCTCCTCGAAGGGAACGGCCAGAGCGAGCTAGGCAATCAGCTGTATGCGAGTATCAAAGACAAGATAGAGACCAACATCTGGGAGTTAGGAGACTTGAAAATGATCAAGCTTCTTACTCTGGTGGTTAGTACTTTGACATGAGCCTCCCCTTTCTTTTTTCCCCCCCGTCGCTTAAGCTGTTCATCTCTTTATGTTGACTTTGAGCATATAGGCTACTTATAACTTCCACACAGATGATGAAGTCCTTGCTTATCGTATGGTTGGACTTGCTGCCCGTATGTGTATTGAAATGGGCCTACATCGGCGAGATGCCATCTTGAAGACATTCCACTCACCAGAGGATATAACAACTGTCTATCGAATCTTTTGGTCAGTCTATACCCTAGACAAACGATGGGCTTTTGGAACTGGGCTCCCTTTCATCATACAGGATGAAGACATCGACCCATGCCTACCTGACCCAGTGAGTTTTGTCCTTCCTGTCCCTTCAGGCGACTAATTCTTTTATGAAAAATCTAACCGTGAAATGATATGATGGAAGGACGATGGTGTCCCTTACTTGAGAGCTATGGTTCATTACTGCCGCATCGCGTCTAAAGTATGGTACTCCGGTTTTGGATCAAAGGCCGACCTGAGTGCCAAAAGGGACAAGATGGGTTATCTCGACTACCAAGTTGTCGAGTGGATGAAAAACATCCCAGACCCGCTCAACTTTTACTCAGTCAATAACTCACGGAATCCGGATAACGTTAACCGTGGAATACAACGACTTCGCTTCGTTTTATATATCCGAGGGAACCACATGAGAATACTCATATACCGGCCGGTGCTGCACTCAGCAACCAGCATCGTTGAAAATATGGCATACGCTCAAACAGTAGTAGATATTGCAAAGGATACCATTCGCGTCCTGAGCGAACTCAACCGAACTACCGACATCTACCGTTCACAGCAGATCCTTTTCAATTATTTCCTTGTTGGAGCTCTCGTGGTTCTGTTTCTTGCAATAGCACACGCCCCTGTCAAGTTCAACCGTCAGCTAACGGACGAATTTCACATGGCGCTTAACCTTGTAAAGGGCTTCAGCACCAAGTCCTATATCTCAAAAAGACTATGGAAGATGATCAAGGGCCTGCGTGAGGTGGGAGAAAAACTTGGGCTGCTACCCCATGCGGTACCCCCAGATCCAGCAGATCCTCATTCTTCGGCTGCAGTTGCCATGGCTGGGCTTGCAGGGCATCCGGTCGATGGAATACCACCTTACGGAGGGCAGCACACTGACGGGGAATTGGGGAACAGTCCTATCAATGGCATACAAATGAGCAATGAGCTCACATATCTGTTTGAAGCGATCGAGAATTATAACGGATATGTTACAACTACTTCAGGTCCTGAAGGGATCAACGGAGAAGGCTTCAATGGCACCGACCATACCTTGCACTGCACTGGAGAAGCCATGCCGCCCGCCTTGGGCAACGAAGGGGAGTTTTCAAGGATAATACAGGACCTCTTCTGATCGAGGTCCTTTATATTTATGTATATTTCTCTTCTTACCACCGCCAGACGGCAAATTTGTCTACTTTTTAAACAATACTACACCATGATATCAACATCCAATCCTCTTTAATTGGTATATTTTATGTCTTAAATGTAAATACTTCACTATCGTTCAACTTCGGCCAAAAAAAGGGGGTGACCTGCTTACTCATCTGGGTCACATGACCACTCCAGGACCTTCGAAAAGTCCTAAAAAAGAAGTCGAAAAAAAGAATATCAAGATCAATCATTATTATTTTCTCTGTTTCTTTTCTCCTGCATCTACCATTCACCCGTTCTAATACGAATTTGTTGGTGCCGTGAACCCTCCAACCTGCTTGACTCTCGTTATTGCAACCTGTCGCATCAGCCATAGCCTCCAGATCCCTGTCGCAACGAGCTCAACCGCTTGTTATCGATAGTTACCACAATATTTATCCCACCACATTTTACGAGTTTCGGTCTCCCTCCGTCTTCGCAGCGCTAAAACATTGTTCTATACAGATTCACCCTTAAGTAGGAGTCCGGCGATTACACTCTACTCGCGATACACAATCAAAGACAAATACACCAGACGGTGGGGGAGCAAAAAACTTGAGACTGCGTGCTCGGGGGTTTTGCGAATATCAACTAGCCACACACACATATACTCCTCTGTATAATGGATGTTTTCCCCTAGAGCTCCCGTTTTATCCCTCTCCTTACGAGGCTACCCTTTTGCAAATCTATCTACGCGCGAAATACCACCGATTCGAACCATATATCGACCCTTCTCAAACCGCTCGATACCTACAAGATAGCTACCCTTGATACTTAGCATCAACCACGTCTACCATGTCGTTATTATCGGACGGGGCAGGAGAGACATGGATCTCATCATACTGCTCATTAATGGGTCATGAATATTTTGCAGAAGTCTCAGAAGAGTTCATTGAAGACGACTTCAACCTGACTGGATTAGGTGCCCAAGTGCCGCGGTATAAGGAGGCTTTAGAACTTATCTTGGATGTGGAACCTGATTCGGACGAGGAAGATGAGGACGAGGACGAGGATGACTATGAGGAAGATGAGGATATTATCCTAGGCGACGAAAGATCCCCTGGCTACAAGAAGTCCGATAGAAAACACAGCCGCGTTGCCAGCGACTTGAGTGTCATCGAAAGCTCTGGGGAACTGTTATATGGATTGATCCATCAACGCTATATAACATCTCGGCAGGGCATGCAGCAGATGTTTGAAAAATATCAACTGCAGCATTTTGGATCTTGTCCTCGAGTCTTATGCGGCGGATGCAAGGTGCTTCCTGTTGGGCGTTCAGATGCCCCCGGGGTGGACACAGTAAAGCTATACTGCCCTAGTTGTCAGGACATCTACACCCCTCCAAATAGCAGATTCCAGTCCGTTGACGGTGCATTTTTTGGGACGACCTTCGGGTGCCTATTTTTTATGACCTTCCCAGAGCTTGATGTTGCTTCAAAGGCAGAGTCTGCGGCCAATGCGCTTGGGGCTAACGCGAGACGTGCCTCTCATAACAGCCCATCATCATCCAGCACGTCCCAGCCACCTTCTAATCAGCCAACTCAACTTAACGGTTTTAATGTGGCCAACCTTGCGCCAGGCTTGGGACCAGGCAAAATATACGAACCTCGGATATATGGCTTTAAAGTATCAGAGCGTGCCAGATCTGGGCCAAGAATGAAATGGCTGCGAATGAAACCGGAAGACATCAACGAACTGGATGAAACGACAATGTACCATTCCAGCCGCGCAGACAGTGCCCCTAGCTGTGACGAGGATGAAGAAGACCAGGCCGATATAAACGCAGCCTTGAACGTCATCAACCAACGTAAGAAGGCCCCAATCCGTCGGCGGAGGGTAATTGCACCAAATAGCGCGGATCCGATGGGGACCAACGGAGATAAGGCGGGTAAATAGATGTAAGTTTTCTTTTCCAAACGGGCGTATTATCTCTTATTATTATCATTATGGACGTACTCCGTACTAATGATTTTTTACTTATAAGTAGAATATCTCCCGGCCTAAGTACTCTTGGCGAATCGTCGTCACCTGAACCCGTTCCCCCAGTGGATACTGCCATTACTTCTTTCTTTTTTGTTTCAGCTTCAGTATTCCATGTACGCGTTCACGCATTGGGAGAGGAGTTAAATGTGTTCATCGCTGCTTTGATGGCCCCATGTCGAGTGTTCAACGGTATAGGCAAAGTGGATATAAAATGAGAAAAGAGAAAAGAGAGAAAAAAGGAAACATAGTACAAGCATGTAATTACAGATGAGGCCGTCAGCTCGCCTACATTATTATCTTCATTACTCGCTGCCATTCCAGTTAACCTACGTGACTTGGAAACTCCCCCAAGACGGCCCGTTTTTTCTCCACATCCCAACTATAACCACTGTGGTAATATATCTGACTAGTGTCTTTAAATAGTCACTCAGCAAGGAAGCGTCGCACCGTGAACTAAATCTTGCGTTTGCAGGAGATGCAGCTCTCGTAGTCTAGCCAGAGTAGTTGAACGGTCGGTTGGCTACTCTATACCAACTGGCCTCTCTAACATAGCGCGGTGGCAACCAGCCCCTGAGCAGCCAAAGAAGTAGATAGCATACATAGTGGTCATGGCCGCCGTCCCTACGCCCTTTATCCTCTTTTAGCCATAGCATTAGTATTTCTCCGACCTTAAATAAAGTTCCGCAGGGAATAGATGTATATGTTTATATGTGCATGTGTATGTGTGTGTGTGTGTTTACCAACTCGTGAAACCCATACATAGAATGCGAGGTTATAGAGCAAGGATGGCGAGCAAAGATCAATTCCAATAAAACAGCCTCTTCTATGATGTGCGTTTCCGCCTTGCGCTGGATACTGGCCAGAGTGGAAACCGAGTTAGTTAATGCAATTTATAAACTCCTTCAAGGCATCCATTCTGGACGGTTGGGCCGATAAGATGAGGCTGGTTCTGGATGCAAGCAATGTTTAGGCGCAACCCACGAAAGGCTGCCAGTTTATCAATTTTTTTTACCCCGTATTCTTCATATTAAACCAAACTAGTAAAAGGTGGCTCAGCTCTTCCACCATCGATCTTTTTTTTTTTTCATTTCAGTTTACGCTGCCGCCCTTTCTTCGATCTAAGTGCAAGCAGCGATCCCAAGCTTAACTTAGCTAGTTAACTCAGGGAGAGTGCATGAAAAGCAGCCAGCCAGCCAACAAAACAACTAAATGGTTGGCTCGTTAGAACAGAATCTTGTTGGGCTACCTGATGGTCCGGACTTTTGGACCCTGCAACATCCCATCGCATCTCCTCGGATGGGATATCAGCCTCTATGCCCATTCCGGCTGGTCATGGATAGGACAAGGCTTCTCTTGGTTGGCCCTTCTGGATCAATGATTGACTCGGGACAACCGTCCCGTCGAGCAGGATATTCAGCCTTCCGGCTAACCTTTCAGTTTTTTTATTTGCTCGACAAGGGTACGCCGTATACATCTGCTCGATGCCTCTATATCTATATATAGGACCCAGTTTGATCATCTGGAGTAGACACATATGTATGTATGTAAATATGTATATAATATTCCTTGGCCGATCCTCTGCTTCGTCACTCAGTGCAGACAAATGATTCATGAATAGCTGTTCAATACTCCGTACTCGTCCTCACTCCAGCCCAACCATCTGATATCTGAAGGCCAAAAAAAAAAAAAAAAAGAACATATTCAGCGTTGTCGCGATGGACTACCAAAACAACCATCCGTCCCACTGTCAAGAGTCCTATGTATCGAAGTTCTCCGTCAGGAGTGCATTTAGCCCCCACGCCCATCCAAATGAAGATTGGACAAAGATATCGGATCTTGGAGAGAGGCGTCGAATCCAGAACAGAATTGCTCAAAGGAACTATCGTAAGATTCCACTCTATACCGTTGTTATGGAAAAATGCCTTGCTAACAATCTAATTAAAGGCAAGAAGTTGAAGAAGAGGCTGGAAGAGCAGCTCAGACAAGCGACTTCTTCTCCTGAACACTCGCCGGACGAGAGTGGTCCCGCCCAGGAAGAGCCCTATGCGACTGAGTCAAGCAGCGAACAGCACTCAGCAAGAGCACTGAAGCCTGCTCTGCGGCCAAGATTATCGTCGAACTCGCCTCCTACGAATTTCCAATTGATGCAAGAATCACCGCCAATCTACACTCAGCAATATGACAACGCCAGCTCCATATCCCCAGCTCCCTTGGCCTCGTTTGCTCCTTACACCTCATATTCAGATGGTATTATATCTGCACAATACTCTTGTGCACCGTTACAGGGAGCGATACCGGACATCTATGGTGGCCAGGAGCATCGATCGGGAAGCGATGGTCTAGAGCCCTCGATATCGTCACCATACTATGCATCCCCCAGACCAGAAAGATACTGTGGTATTGATGTTGATTGCCTCGCTTCATCTACTTTGCCTGTCACAGCCGCCACGACCCTCGCGGCAGCTATGTCCCCGTATATCAGGATGTCAGACCCGATATACCATTACGATTATTCCGATGTGTATCCAATGCCTGAAGCAACCGGTACGGGTTCAACCTCAGGGAGATACTAAGTAGGCTATAAAGGCCTTGGAAATTCTATTAATGCCCTAATGATCAACCGTTCAAAGGTCTTTATGAATAGTACTTCATTGTGTTTACAGGAAAGAGCAATCATGAAGGCCTTTTTTTTGTTACTTACTTCATCTGTTTGATTTTGTATATACCTCCGTTATAGAAGAAAGTTCATACTGTCACTCTGTGCCTTCAAACCGATCACGAGGATCAACCTTCATGTCAAGGAACTAATGTCGTAGTATTGATACCCGAAAGTTAAAAGTCGTGGGCGGGCCGATGTCTACCATCGACTAGGAACAGCATCCGGTGGGGAGAATTGGCTTTTGAGACTACCAAGGCTAAGTAAGCATTGTGGTCCAGATTCAAGCTAATTAAAGCTATAGCCAAGTTCGAATTATGGGAGGAAGGGTTCAAGACGCACGAAGTTTGGTGATAGAAACGCCACAAAGGCGTATATATTTCAAGAAATGCGGGACGTATTCCACTTTAGTTCTACTTTGTCACCATCGTCACCACCAAGGTACCGTACACCGTTATCCTACCCAGGTCTCATACCAAGCTTCATGGATGGTGTAGTATAAGTTTGCACTGGAAGTAGACACTGAGATATCATGCTCCTCGCTTTGTTTGATGAAAGCGATGTCTTTCCCCAGTGTAAGCTAGCAACTGCACTATTTTAGTCTCATGTGATTCGATTCAGGTGGTTCGTGCTGACTGGTAACTACAAGGGATGGGCCAAGTAGTACCCTTGAGGTGTTCTGCATAGCTTTCTCGTATACACACCTCCTTGGCCCTTCACAAACCATGGTAGCTCCCACTTGAAGCCGAAGCCATCAGATATGGAGTTACCGTCGATGATATGAGCTACGACTGGGTTTCTGCCCAGTTAATATGGCTAAGATCCGATATTACGGCACAGTTTTATTGAGAAGCGAGGTAGGGATTCCCCTGCAGCATCATCAACCCCCTTCGCCGCTGAAGTTGAGGCGTTGGTATTATTAGTTTGAGAATACGAATTTTGACATTTCAGTTCCGCGTTTGAGCATGGTTTATGTACCTGTATATTATTGACTTTTATTTTTTGCCTCGTTATGGAAACTTCATATGGATATGCGGTGAGATGGCCCTCCCTGCTCTCTCTACCCGCTAGCGAGCTGCTTCCATCGAAATCCGCTTCATCAGGCGTCATAGAAACCGGGGTACGGAAGCGGTATAGCCTCATTGGACGCAACACGTATATGCGTTCTGGGAACGCCGTCATTGACTGCTTCCGCGTTTCATCGGTTTCCACAGGTTAGACAGGCGTCAGCCAGGGCCTTCGTATCCAACGTACATAGTACGCTGCATGACCAAATTGTCCGTAGAAGCACCGACCATGCTGCTTGGATTTAATGAACAGGTTTCCCCGCGCGTGAGGCGGGAGGTTTTCAAGCAAGATCGTGACAATGGGATTTTATTTATGCATATCTAAAAATAGACCTGGAGCCGCCTATTCTTCCATGAATGGGAGCAGAGTCAAAATGCTATAAATAACAACACCTCCCCGTAGATCTTGGCGCGCTAATTAACCATTCATGTGTGTAGACTCGACTCTGTCACGACTCTCATCTCCAGGGATATTCAGCGACAGACCACTCAGGCTGAAGACAGAGGCGTCAACGTGGCCTCCTGTTCGTATACATACATTCCATCATTTGCTTTACACGGAGTACTCGGTACAGTTTCTTGGATTCCAACAATACTTGTACCCCCACGCGCAAAGATTGACATTGGGAGTCAACATCTTGAAACTTCATCTGATTAAGAGAGGTGAATATCAGGCACTAGATTGAAAGCGGTGATAAGTCGTAGCAGAGGATATACTATTATTGTAAACATAACCAGCAGGGACCAAATACTTGCATTCGTACGTTTGTTCAATTTGTTAGACTGTTTATATCTATTGTCTATCTGTATTGACTGGCTGTGTCTGAGTCTGCAATATACCTCCCATGAAGCAACAAGAAATCAAATCGCCTAATTTGTCAAATATCTATCCCATATGTCTATATGGCAGGAGATCTATTTGCAGCCCCCTCATTAAAAAAAAAAAAACAATTCCCAACCGTATTAAACTGTGGGACTTCCCCGCACCAGGGGAGATCTTACACTTGGACACTATTATCCCAAAAGAATTAGTTTCATCTTCAAAGGTTCAAGGGTGAAGGATTTCGGGTATATATAATTACCTCCATTCATGCTCCACTTCACCATATTGGATTTCCTCGATCCAGTTCTTCATTTCAAGAGCGACTTTACCGGCCTCTTCGTTCTTCTTAAGGCCGCAGTCGATCTTTTGTCCTTTCCAGCTGATGTCACGGACTGGGCTCACAATGGCAGCAGTGCCGGCACCAAAGACCTCGATAAGTCTGCCATCTTTTGAGGCCTGTGAAATTTCTTTCATGGTGACTTTACGCTCCGATACGCCCCATCCTCTGGGGACAAGTCTCTCTCTAGCTAAGGCTAGGACAGAGTCTCTAGTCACACCCTCGAGGATGGTTCCATCCAGCGGAGGAGTCAAAAGCTCATTCTTGCCAGTTTCCTGGTTCTTCATTGCAATGAACAAGTTCATGGTTCCGACTTCGGTGACATACTCTTCCTCACCAAAGAGCCACAGGTTCTGCTGGAAGCCTCGAGTTCCTGCTTCCATTTGTGGGACAATGCAAGGGGCATAATTTGCGCCGAGTTTCTTGTCACCTACACCACCAGGCCAGGCACGGACGGCATAGTCAGTAGCCTCAAGGGAGACGGCCTTGAAGCCAGTGGGGTAGTATGGACCCACAGGGCTAGCAATCACAAAGAGAAGGGCAGATCCAGGAGCAGCAACTCCTAGGGATTCCTGTGTTCCAATAACGGTTGGTCTCAGGTAGAGAGAGTAGCCCCGCTCGCTGGTAAAGTGAATGAGTTAGTTTGAAAGCTGTACACTGGGCGTAGAGAAAAATCAAGAGGACAAAAAGCTCAAAAAAGAAAGCAAAGAACCTACCTAGGGATGAATCTGCTATCCAGTTTAACAAGATCGCCAATGAGTCTGGTCATTACATCGGTGTCAAAGGTAGGGAGTGCGATACGCTGGGTCGACTTATTCAGTCTTGCCATATTCTTGTCTGGTCTAAACAAGCGAATAGAGCCGCCTCCGGCTTTATAGGCCTTCATACCCTCGAAGCACTCAAACGCATAGTGAAAGACAGAGGCAGATGGGGCCAGGCTTAAATTCTGGTATGGCATGATACTTGGAGCAAGCCATCCATCTTTAGTGTTCCATTTCACCTGGAGCATATGATCTAGGGTATCTCATAGTTAGTATGTGATGCTAGGGCCGATGCCAGGGTATTACTTCGGTTAAGCTTCAGGGCCAAATACCGGTGAAGGTGGCTCCGAACACAAGGTCCTTGTTCTGCTGCAGCTCCTTCGGAGTTTCGGCTCTTGTGACAGTGAGCTTGGAGTAATCGAGCCCGGGGAGGCCATCACTTCGTGAACGGCTAGCACTGTAGTTTCTTTGATATCTGCCGAACCTAGTCGTGACAGGGCTTTTCGGGATGGTCATTGCGTTGAGAGTTCGGTTTAACGGGACGAATGACTTCATAACTGCTGGGATAAACCAGATATACACCGGGAGAATCAAAAAAAGAAGTGGGCAATACTTGCGGGATCAATGGCTAATATATGTTCGCGAATAGTGACTCATGTAAGCTCTTCGTCTCAGATTTGAAAGGAGTGAAGAAAAGAGAAACGAACGCTTAACCGCGGTCGTTTCGCTTGTAACTCCAATTGGACCAATCGGATCACAGTATCGCAGCTTGTTGCCGATATGTGGGTCAAAATTCGGCTTTTAGTTTTTCCTCCTTCCGGCCGAGATAAAACCGATGTCATGTGCCATGTCACGTGGACAGCCTTCGTTTCAAGCTAGAGAAAAGGGGGAATATGGACTTATTCCTCTTTGCCTACTTTTGATGAACGACTGGCTCGAATAACCACTGGCTATAATTGGTTGGAGTATGTTGCCTAATTTTTTTAAGCTATTGAGCATTTACTGCAGTATTGGGCCTGGTTTTCTAGATCCTAAACCGACCACTATAGACGCTTGAATAGACGGATAAGTATATCTATCTCCTTGTTTGTACAGGCCAGGCCCATAATTACGCAATATGAGCCCTCTGTTCACCTCACTGTAGGCGGTGACGCGAGTGAAACAGCCACCATCATTCTAGGGTATAAAGTTGAAGCTCAAGCCCAATCACTCATGGGCTATTTGAATGACCGTCTGCTCGCTTTATAATAATTTGTCAAAGACCTGGTTAATGATCTTAAAAGGTTATTAATTAGCAAGTTTCTCGCAGTGTTCTCCCTACTTTAGTCAATGTGCACTCCAGAATCTTTAAATTATGCAGCTTTCATAGGTATTAATTTTTGCTATTTACACTTGGATACCTCTGCCGGCTACCTATTCGGGATCTCCAAACTCATAATGAGACACAATAATGTTCGATAGTAGAATAGTCAACCTAGTTAATATTTGAAAGAAAAAAATACAATCTTAACAACGGATGTTCCTAGATGCATTTCTTGTTGGCGGTTACCATCAAAGATCCCTGTTGAGGCGGTTAGCCGTATCTTAGTAATAGACTCTGAGCCTCTGCCGCAGAGTCTATTACTAAGCCCTGAATCTCCGTATTCTCAGGCGGCGATAAAACGAACCATCCATCAGAAACCTCACCAAGACGGTCACATAAATTGCGTCCAAAGGGTCACTGCTTGTGTCAGCAAAATTTGGTACACCCTCCGGTTTATTCCGTACATAATTCTCTCTTTCTAGCCCTCCAATTGGCTTTACGGAGTTGCATGGCAGTCGCGCTAAAGCGTCAACATCCGATCTTGATGAGAAAATCTCCATACCCGGTGTACTAGGCATCTGAAGATTGATATACCAACATGTCCCTGGAAACCAACTTTATTTCATGATATATTTAGCCTAATAGTGACCTTTAACCATGTTCTCTTCAGCCTTGAAGTCGTTCTCATCGAACATTTCTAATAACTACCAGTACTCACCAAACCCCTCATTCGTTTCAGGGCCATGGAAAGTTCATGACGGGAAGAAAAAGAATACCGGAAAGGCCGTCTCCATATTCATCTTTGACCGGAAATCTTTGGATCCGCGGGCTGGTGGGTTGAGTTCACGATCAAACTCTACTTCACTAAAAAAAGTCCATGAAGAAGTTGTTGAAAGGCTCAAGCGGGAGGCCGCAAATCTTGCTCGCCTGAGACACCCCTCTATTCTTCAGATCATTGAACCAGTGGAAGATACGAGAAATGGAGGCTTGATGTTTGCCACAGAAGCAGTCACCGCATCCTTATCTGGGCTACTACAAGAAAAGACCGACCAAGAGTCTTCTAGTCGTGTTGGCGGAAGGGCCAGTCGACACATTATTGAAGAGGCTGACGGATCACGAAGGAGACGAGAATTAGAAATTGACGAACTTGAAATCCAAAAAGGGCTTCTTCAGATTGGGAAAGGCCTCGAGTTCTTGCATGAATCGGCCAAAATCGTGCATGGGAATCTCACTCCTGACGCCATCTATATCAATGCAAAGTCAGATTGGAAGATATCCGGTTTATCCTTTGCTGGGCCTACAAACCCTGAGGCACAATCGCCACTGCCACCCCTTGCATTATCAGAGGTCCTTTATCATGACCCCCGGCTGCCTAGGTCTGTGCAGCTCGATTTGGATTATACATCCCCCGACTTTGTTCTGGACTCCAATGTTTCCCCATCTGCGGATCTTTTTTCTCTTGGGCTCATAATCATCGCCCTTTACAACTCTCCTCATGTATCGCCCCTAAATACTAATAACAGCACGAATATATATAAAAAATTACTCAGCTCTGCGTCAACAATCCCTTCGCAATCGAACTCCTTTCTTTCATCTGGACCGATACCAAAGGATCTTGCTGGCCATGTCCTACCAAAACTCATAACTAGAAGGCCAGCCCAACGGATGAATGCTAGTGAATTTCAACAGTCCCAGTACTTTGACAATGTTCTTGTTTCCACCATCCGCTTCCTGGATTCTTTCCCTGCGAAAACCCAAAATGAGAAATCGCAGTTTATGAGAGGGTTATCTAGAATCTTACCTGAGTTTCCAACTTCTGTCCTAGAACGCAAGGTTCTCGGAGCTCTACTTGAAGAGAGCAAAGATCGCGAACTTCTACCACTCATTCTTCAGAACGTTTTCAAAATCCTTACACGTCTCCCGACAAGTCAGCGCCTGGTTACGGATAAAGTTCTTCCTCGTCTCAAGGAAATATTCCTTCCGCAAGGTAATAAAGGGGCCGCTCAGGAACGAGATACCAGCAAGGATGCAGGCCTCATGGTTGTCCTGGAAAACACACAAGTCCTTGCTGACAACTGTTCTGGAAAGATCTTTAAAGATGGTTTGTAACCTAAATCTCACCGAGTTTGTATTCCAAACTTCATCATTTTACTGACGATCATAGATGTGATACCACTGATCCACCTAGGGCTGGAATCCCCAACACATTCGTTAATAGACGCATCTATGAAATGTCTCCCTATCATGCTACCCGTCCTCGACTACTCAACAGTGAAGGATGACATATTCCCCCCGATCGCATCAGTATTTGCCAGGACTAGCAGCCTTGCAATAAAAGTTCGGGGCTTGGAGGCATTTCACGTTCTCTGTGGTGGTGGGTTGCCTAAATCCAGAAACCAGTCTACAGATGATCTTTCAGGAATTGTCGTGGACTCGCAGCCAGTGAAATCAAACCAGAACTCTATACTTGACAAATATACCATCCAGGAGAAGCTTATACCATTACTGAAGGCAATAAAAACTAAAGAACCGGCGGTAATGATTGCAGCTCTGAATGTGTTTAAACAGGTCGGGCACATTGTTGATATAGAATTTGCGGCACTCGAAGTCCTTCCGATCTTGTGGAGCTTTGCTCTCGGCCCACTTCTCAATGTTCAACAGTTTTCCTCATTCATGGAATTGATAAAATCACTTTCGTCAAAAGTTGAGCGTGAGCAAACCAAAAAATTACAACAGCTATCTTCCAGTAATGATGGAGGAAGTTTCTCTAAGAATACAAGCCAAATGGACGCAATGTCTCCTTTTAACAGTGGGGGTGAGGCCAGCGGCAATAAATCCGACTTTGAGCGCCTTGTACTAGGCAAAGAAAAGTCGCCATCCACCCCTATAGATTCGTGGGGTGAATGGGGCGATTCTTCTGCATATAGTGCTCAGGCACCTGCGAAACCAGACACTGCACCCCAATTTTCCTGGTCTACTGGCAATACCACTGCTTTGCGGCAAGGAAACGGCACATTAGCAAAACCGAACGCGAACATGCGATCAATCACCCCTGACATGACAATTAATTCTTTCCCAACATTGCAACCGGGGCATAAGAGCAACACTTCGTCGCTCTCCTCGATGCCTACCCTCCAGCCTCTCTCTCCGACAGCTCCCCAAAGTGGCATGATGGCGGGTAGCAGTTTTGGTGCCCAGCAAAGTACTAGCCAGTTCATGTCCTCGACTACTAGCTCCTTTAACATTCCAACCATAGGAGGCAGGCCTGTTAATAGCAGCAACTCATGGCAGAGCCAAGGGCAAATGAATACCACGCCGTTCTCTCCGTACACCATCGCTCCACCTCCTCAGAGCAGCAACCAATTTCAACGAAGCAATTCCTCCACCGTGAACAACACCACATCCGCTTTTTCAGGCTTGGTCTCGCCTCCGGCTACGAGCTCAAACCAGCAACAGAAGGAAGGGCTGGATAAGTATGATAGCTTACTCTAGGTGTCGTTCAACCTGAGCTCGTTTCGATGATAGCGTTCACTTGATACCCTCCGGGGCATGGCAATTGATTAGATAGCCTTACCTTTACTGTGCCTTTATTATAATTTATCAATATTACGTGGACTTCCACTTTTATCGATAAGAGAAATCTCCGAAATAGTAGAAAAAAAAATATCGTGTTAACTAATTTGCTGTTTAAGTAACAAATATTCAGTTAAAGACTTTGACTACGCCGGCTAAAAGCTGTCAAGCTACCGGATTGGCCAAAATTAAAAATAGCTGGTAGAACCCAAGCAGGCTGCCAGCTTGCAACCCCTTGATGACCCCTCTTCGCCGCAGCTGCAGCAGGGCGCCCAGCAGCAGCTTCTCCTCCTTCTTCCCCCGTCTGCTACGCCACCAGCTCCCCAAGTCCTCTTCTTCTCCACGAGCAGCGTCTACATCTTTGTACCGGCAGTTCTCTAGCACCAGAAGCTTGAACTCGGAAGCTATGGATATCCAAACGAAACATCAGTACCTGGCCGATTCTCCGCCAACTATCGTGAGACTGGAGATACGGCCTCATTTCGAAGCTCTGAAGGATGACAAACTAAAGAGATATTCCCATTTTATCAGCAGGTGAGGGCTGCCTCTTTCTTTTTCTTTCATGGGAGAACGTTTCTGTAGCTATCACGGACCGGTGGATGGCTGACTTCTTCCTTTTCCAGGGCGGCTTTCCAAGGAACGAGAATCACCCTTCGTCAAGTCTCCCCTGAATCCGAACCTATTTACGACCTTATTATATCCCTCTACAACACTTGCAAGGGCGATTGGAAGGCCCTCGCTACGAAGACGAATACAAGCCCAGAGAATTTGCAGTTTTTCCTAGAGTATGCAGCGCAGTTCCTGGGCAACTGTGGGAACTACAAGGGATTCGGGGACTCCAAGTTTATCCCCAGGATCCCATCCGATGCATTTGAAGCTCTCGCTTCTGGCTCACCTGAGACGAAAAAGCTCTTCGATCTTGCTTGCAAGTCAGGAGGGGGCATCTATGAGACCGCTTCACCGGATCTGATGCATTTGGGTTATCCCGAGAAGGGCCAAATGACGACATATTACCCAGACTCCCCATCCATCACCAAGGAAGAGATTACTTTGATCGGTGATTTTCTAGAGAAGAAGCAGCTTTTGTTGGAAAACACAAGGCTTAGAAAGACCCAGGATGGCAACTTTGAACTATTGATTGCCTCGGCCGAAACGTCACCAGCGGGTAAGGACAGAGACGTTGGAGACGTCGATGGGTGGGATCTGGAAGGCAAGCTTGCTGGCAAGAAGCTTAAGCTAGTATATGGTGACTATTCTGAGATTATGAAAAAAATCGCGGAGAGCATTAAGCAGGCTGGCGCGAATGCAGCAAACGATATACAGAAGAAGATGCACCAAGAATACTTTAAATCGTTTACCACCGGGTCCATTGAAGCTTACAAGGAAAGCCAGCGTTACTGGATTCGGGACATTGGCCCGATGGTAGAGTCTGACATTGGATTTGTTGAGACCTACCGCGATCCCCATGGCGTTAGAGGGGAGTGGGAGGGCTTTGCGGCAATGGTGAGTATCCACCTTGCATACATAAAAGAAATATGCTACGTGTTGCTAAACTTCTCTCACAGGTCAACCTCGAGCGAACCAAGGCTTTCAGCAAACTTGTAGAGAATGCCGAAACCATGATTCCCAAGCTGCCCTGGGGCAAGGAATTCGAGAAGCAGACCTTTCTGAGCCCCGACTTTACCTCACTTGAGGTGATGAGCTTTGCCGGAAGCGGTATCCCAGCAGGAATCAACATCCCCAATTACGACGACATCCGCCAGAACCTTGGATTCAAGAACGTGTCTCTGGGGAACGTTCTCAGCGCGAAAGCACCCAACGAGCCGGTCCCCTTCATTCGTGCGCAAGACCTAAGTCTCTTCCGCGAACACAGAGATGCTGCATTTGAGGTCCAGGTCGGCATCCACGAGCTGCTCGGCCACGGAACCGGAAAATTACTGCAGGAAACGTCTCCGGGGAAATACAACTTTGACGTATCGAACCCGCCGGTGAGCCCGATTGATGGCAAGCCCATTTCCACATGGTACAAGCCCGGCCAAACCTGGAGCTCCGTGTTTGGATCGATCGCTTCTTCGTACGAGGAGTGCCGTGCGGAGTGTGTCGCCATGGCTCTGGGGTGCGACTTTGGCATCCTCCAGCTGTTCGGTTTCGGCAACGGCAAAGACGACATCGACGGACAGGCAGGAGATGTTCTCTACGCCAGCTACCTCCAGATGGCTCGGGCCGGTGTGGTTGCCCTTGAATTCTGGGACCCGAGCAGCAAGAAATGGGGCCAGGCGCACATGCAGGCACGATTCAGCATACTCCGTACCTTCTTGGGCGCTGGCGATGACTTTGTTCGGCTGGTGCATGAGAAAGAAGATCTGTCTGACCTGGAAATCCACCTTGACCGGTCCAAGATCCTCAGCCATGGACGGCCTGCGGTCGAGAAGTACCTGCAGAAACTCCATGTGTACAAGAGTACGGCGAACTTCGAGGCCGGCAAGGCCCTCTACGACGAGAGCACTCATGTGGACGAGTGGTGGGGGACCAAAGTGCGCCCTATCGTGCTGCAGAAGAAGGTGCCCAGAAAGGTGTTTGTGCAGGCCAACACAGTGCTGGAGGGCGACAAGGTCGTGCTGAAGGAATACGAGCCAACCCTTGAAGGCATGATCCAGAGCTATGCTGAGCGCGACGTGTAGGACTCCCGGGGCCATCAATCAGCATATCCCAGGGAGGACATACTATGCCTGTCTACGCCTATCTATGACACAATAGAAGCTCTCCCTATGAATAAACAAATTATGATCTTCTCCATCTTCTCCATCCCCGAGCATTGCCACGTCACTAACAGTAGATACAAATAAAAAATTATATATATTACAGGGAAGAGAAAAAAAAAGCTCGACTTTATTCATCTTGTCGCTTTTCCTATTGATGGCCCAAAAAAGAAACAAAAGCGACAATAGGTTTCCTGCTTAGTAAGCCTATTGACGACGACAGGAAGAAAAAAAGGCTTTGATGGTTTTCAGCCGCGCTTTTTTGCATGGAAAAGAAAGGAGAAAAGATTTTCTTTTTCTTTTTTTTTTTTGATCTCTCTATTGATGCAGAGCATGTCAATGGGCCTGGGATGTTGCACACACATGATGATAATAAGTAATACGTAAAAGAGTGTTTGGAGAATGTCAACAAAAGAGAAGTATTGACTCCTACCAAACGTCTGGCTATCCCCATTGATTGATACATCTGGAGAAGTCCTACCTAAACTTCCTCTTTGCCATAGGCAACGGACTCCACCTTCTGTCTGCTTTATATATATATATACACATACATATATATCTGGTTGTTTTTCTTCTCGTTTCCTGTTCTGCCATATATCTTCATCCCACTGTCATCTTGCTCAATATCAAGTTCTAGCATACACGACCCAAGAAGATGCTACCACCGTCAGACTCGTTTGCTCATCATAACCTCAAGCTGGCCGAAGTCCTGGCCAGCCTTCGAAAGCAGACTGCTGCGCCTGCTCCCCCACCGCCATATGCTGCTACCGCTGGCTCTAGTAATGTCAACGCTGCTGGGCTGCTAGGGGAACTCGAAGATGATGAGAGTTACGAGGACGCACCCCTTGCTCCAATTGTTATTAAAATCGATACCTCAATCTCTATCGATGGGCAGAATAACACCGTTGCCATACCTACCTCCGTGGGCACAGGCGTCGAGGGCAGCCAGTCGCCTGCATCAGATGTTCCAGGTCTATCTATACAGCAGCTCCAGCAGCTGCAGCAGCGTCGACAGGCCAAATCGTCACAGCTGGCCTCGGCTATCATCTCGGCTTTAAAAGCGGCTGGGGCCTTGGATGACACAGAGACGGGAAGGCAACGCCCAATTGAGGTTGATGTCAATGCTGGTATCAGAATTATTGGAAATTCCAACGAGATATGTTCAGGATCCCGCAGGAAGAAGACAGGACAGGATCCAGTGTCTGTTCTCACCCACTCCCCGGAGAAGTTGGACAGGAAGCGTCGAGCTCAATCTGTACGTGTATGTTTTATTTTCCACTTTCGGTCCATTCGTTAACGTGCTGGGATTAGGAACCTCTGGACACTCCAGAGCGGAAGAGAGTACATACTACCAAAGAGTCAGCTGGCCATCGAAGCTAGCTAGAAACGATACTCTCCCTTTCAGGCGGACCACCATATATCACTTGCAATAAGTGATGTGGCCATGGTTTCGGTCTACCCGCTCAAGATAAAACTATCAATAACCCGGACAACCGTATGTTTGTGCTGACGGATGCGGAAAAGTAAGCCCTCCCTTTGAATCTCGGTGTTACTTGAGTGTTTGCTACAAATCTAACATATTCAAGAGGAAAAAAGAAACAGGCCCCCATCTTGCCATGTTGGCTGTCCCACCATATCCTTTCTTTCTCCCATTTTCCACGTTCTATTATTCCTCCGCAACAAAAAGCGTTTAGCGAACTGAGACGCCTCTGATATGACATAGAAATTATCCCATGTGGGTTCATGTTTTTTCTTTCTTTTCTCTAATGATGATAATGTATTTTTATTACGAATATGTATGACGAGGTGATATTAGACAATTGGAGGGTTTAGATTAATAGTCTATAAGTCGTCTAGCCAGCATAATGGCCATGCTCCAGCCTTGCCTTCATTGTCTATTGTCTCCTGCATCTGTTTATGTGTTGGATGCATCCCGAAACCATGGGTAATGGACAACTGATCGCGCGACCTGGCACACCCGGGGAGTGAAGATCTTATGACGCACCATCAGTACACAAGCACTCTTAATTCCCACGGCTTCTGTCAGCGGAGCCATCGTAGTGCCAGCTTTGTATCTGATTCTATCTTCAGTACAAGTTTTTACACTGGAGAATATCCAAGTCAACGAACGTCAACCTCTTGCCACGAGATGTGACGTCAATTATTTATTCACATTTCCTACATATTTAAAGAGAATACTATATGTGTCAAGAATGCATTTAACCAGGAAGAGAAATATCCCGTTCAATTTTGCTCTCGTCTCTTAACATCATTGATAGAAATAATCTACATCCCTGTCAAAATGTCCAGCGTTCGCCACCCAGCGGGAGAATTCAAGCCATCACGGCCTCATGATCAACATCTAGATGGCCCAAAGGTAAGCAGTCAGGTTATATCATGCATTCTACAGACAGATCAGAAACCAAGTAATAACGCTAACACGGCTTAGCATAAACCCGGTGTCAAGGCATCGCCGGCAGACTATGCCCCTGAATTCCACGCCCAGTCGGTCCCTGTAGGCTCTGCACCCCCAGAACACACATACCAGCCGCATCCATCGGAGGAATACCCAGGAGATGAGGAAGGCGGTGTCCCTGCCAGTTCGACTTTGACGGGCGCCTCCTCCGCAGATGTGGATAGGGGGATGGGGAAGCCTATGCAGGGCGAGACCCGGACCGAACTTAGGCATGAGGGTGAACATCATCGCAAGAACCGTGGCTCTGGTCTTGAGGGAGTGGGAGCAAACCCACTGAGCACAGAGACGGACATGAATAGGCTGCAGAGGGAGTGAGAAGGCTTGGTTGTCAGCCATTGAGACCTACGTTAGTGACCTGCCACCACTATGGCTGTGTTTATGTATATCAGGGATATACTATGAACTTGTTCCTTGAAAAAAAATTTCATAATTAACATATTAAAATCACCCACGAGTTGTTTTGGTATTCACAGTCTCGTAAGGTATCTTGCTCACAGCTACTCCTCACAAAAAAAAAAATTATCCCAAGCAATACAAGGAAGATGAAAAAGGGGGGGGAAATGGGGAGGAATTAAGAAGAGAAAGCAAAGACGGAGCCAGCTTGCGCCTTTTGCACCGTATCCTTCTGTAGCCGGCAAATGCATAACCATGTTCCCATAATACATTGATAAGGAAAAGAGAAAAAGAAGAGAGAGGAAAAAAGGGCTTGAGTCGACGATCTCCATGATATACTCCTAGTCCCCCTTCTTGTAGATAAGCTAACCAGGGTTGTTTGCCAACGATTCATCGACCAAGGACGGTGGTAAAGGCGGAAATGAAGTAAAAGGTTTCAAGGGCCCCTTTCTATCTGTTTTGATAAGTAGGGATGGACCGGAATTATCCAAGTCACCGTTTTGGGTATGTTCTCAGCCACCAGGCAGCATAGACGACTATTGTACACTCATATATCGGGTAGATAGCGATGATTCCGATAAATACAGACGGGCAACACTAGGAGTGCCTCAGCGGATTATTGAATGGTCAACGTAGTGAAGACCCTTCTGCCACGCTGGTAGTCGCTTGTTGCATTCGTATTGGAATCCACAGTTATGGCAGAGAGTCTGAGTAAGATCGTGAGTATGATTCCGTATCTGAGCTGGTTTATTGAAATAAGAAAAATAGACTTACCCTTGGTCCAGTTGGTCCGTCTCGTACTGCCCACACCGCAGAGCCCCAAACCAGGCAGTTAGAACAACGCCAAGTCTGTCTCTCCCATTCAGCCAGGGTTCCTCCACCACCTCCATAACCGGCTGTTGCACTAGTATCTGGCGTGCCTCTACCGCCAGGAGTTCCACTTCGGCCGGTTGGGCTGGGACTTCTCAGTCGACGTTTCCTCTTACTCCTCTCTCCACGGCCCATTGGCGTCTCGCTGCCGTCTGGTACGTCGAAATAGCTACCCGATCCTTGTCGTGATAGCTCTGGTGCCACAGCAGCAACTGCCCCTGTTGACGAAAACCTCGCCGTCTCCCGTCGAAGTCTTCTGATCTGCCGCTCTCGATCACCTTCTCGTTTTTCAATCTCTTCCTTAGATAGAGTCTCAATTCTAGCTTCCCATTCATCTCCCAGCGTGTCAGGGTCATATCGCCAACCAGCTTCTTGGCCATTTGCTGTTTGATTATCGATTTCTGCCCCCAAGCCACCTGCACCTCCCATAAGGCCACCGCTCTCACACGCCTCTTTCTTCAGCTTCAAAACAGCCTCATAGATTCCATGGGCGATTGAACTGGCCCACTCCGGACCAAGGCCAAGGTCTGCGCAAGTCACTTTTGAGAACTGTTCGGCCATTCCTCTAGAGTGTAGGAGCGACCATTCAAATTTATCACTGTATAATTTATTGTGGAGGTTTATGTTGAGAGCTACAATGCATCTGTATGCATCATCGGGATCATAAGGCGTATCGGCTGCAGATGGATCAGAGACAGTCTTTCCATTCTGCTGTCCGGTGCTCATGTTATCGGGAGGAGCTGCAGGAGTTTCAGGAGTGGTTTGCATAGGTGTGATCGGCCGTTCTCCAGTGACACTTATCTTTGGTGTGGCGTCTATCTGTTTCGTCTGGCTCGCTGTCGTCTGGAAAAGGGGATGCATAGCAACACCGGCATACTCCTCCAACTGCTGTCGAATCTGATTGCAGATTGCCATGGCCGTTGATTGCTGGTTTGGCAGGTCTAGCTCGCGCACAAAAACCGACGCGAATTCCTCTGGTGTCGTCAGGGCCTCATGCAAGTTCCAGAGGAACGTATCCTTTATTCTATATGGGGGTGCTGGTTCTGGTTTTCTATACGCGGGTAGAGTAGGGTTGATGCCGGCTTCCAAGTAGTTTCGCGGCAACGGAAACGGTTCAGCAGGCTGGTACGCTGGCACTTCAAGGTCAATTCGGATCGGTATGAGATTCACGGGTAATTGCGCCTGGGATTTCAAATGTCTCTCTCTCCTAGCACCCAAGTAAGCATATAATCAGAAGTAACTGAAAGATAAAAGGAAGAGACAGGAGACGCGATTGAGGGTAAATTCATAGGGCATACCCTGCTTTGATTGACTTTCTTACAACCCAGTCTCTGTAATTGGCCTGGACGTTGACGGGCGCAGATATCTCCTTGCCCAATTTTTCCCCCGCAGCCCCCTGATAAGTGTTTATTTCATCTCTCCGCAAACTGCGCAGTCCCGTAGGCCGCCGGGGACCTTCGCTATCCTCAAAGTCATCGTCATCATAGTCGTTTTCCGCGTAATTGACAACAACGGTCCCGCGCTTGGTGGTTCTCACCGGTGGAGCAGCTGGCGCAGTAGGAAGAACGGGCGAGATCAGTGAATTGGCATACTGGCGCAGTCGGGGAGCATAAGAGGTCACAAAACCCAACGGCGGCATGGTGAAGCAGTGAAGGGTAGTGCAGCGTTGGAATCTCTACCAGAGCAGCTCGATAGACATTGCCAAGAGGCCGGCGGCAGCGCTTTTTGGCAGAGACGCGTCTGGGGGGGTTCAATACACAGCGTTCAGAGCTCACAACAAGCCAACGTCGTAGTATACAGAAGATGAAAACAGAAGACAAGAAGGGACTATTAGAGAAAAGAGTATTATTCTATCATCAAAAGGATGAACATTCAAAGACGTTTTTTTTTTCTCTTCAGTTTTTTTTTTTTACTTGAAAAAAGAAACATGAGAAGTAGTCGCGCTAACCTAAAGGAGTTACTGGTTGTTATGTAAACCTGTATCAAGTTTATATAAGAAGGATTTAAATACAGACAAGATGAAGATAAATATAAGAAGCATTAAGATAGCAGTATCCCTATGTATAGCTGGGTGGTCTCTACATACAAAGAGGAAGAAAAATAGACAGATGCAACAAATGGAAGGAGGAAAATGCACATAGTGATTGTTTGTTGCGCCCTAAAACACCTAAGGATCTGAAACAGGTATGAGTCTCGGAAAGATCAAAAAAGAAAAGAAGAGCAGATTCAAATTGTGAGGGTAAGGGGGGTAAAGTGAGAGAGAACACGAAATGGATGATCTGGGGAGATGTCTCTTGCTAGAGTAGAAGGGTCACTTATATGCATTATGCGAGATGGGATAGTATTGACTCCCTTTTTGCTTCTATCAACGCAAGCCGATAACGCTCTACGATTATTGTTAGTGTTGATCTCTTCAATATCAATTTGGGTGTGCAGATTCACTCTGGGAGTACATACCATTTCTAAGGTCCACACCCTCCGGATCCAAACCTTCAGCTTGCCCTCTACCCCTTCTACGTTTTCAAGCTCGACTCCTTCCCACCAGCAGCGTCGAGCCGGTTTTCTCCAGAACAAGAGTAGCTTCTGTGCCATACCGACGACATTGCTGTTGGCCAAGTCACCTCTGATGTCGGTTCGTAGTTTGGCCAGCGCCAGGCTACATATAACAGCCTTGTTTGGTTCGCCTGCACGATGGCCCCATTTATCATCATAGTTGAATCCGCTGTAAATGAAACATAATCGTCAGATAAATAATTTTTTTTTTTTTTTTTTTTTTTTTTTTGAATATATGGAAGAATAAAACCCCAAACTCACCCAGCAGTTAACATTTCGATAAGATGCTGTTCGGTTGATCCTGGCTCGTCACTTTTCCTTAGTCCGGAGAAGATACCATCCTGTTTCAGCAAGGCACGTCCGGCAGCTCGTTTGATCTCCATCATTTCTGGATGTTCAATCTCCGCGGTTGGAGGAATGGTGTAGAAATCGAGGTCTTCTCGAAGGACAATGATTCCAGCGCGGTCTTGCAGCATGTCCCGGGCAGGGTTTGGGATAGGATCAGCCGCTTCAACGGTTGGAGATGTAGTTGGGGAAGGTGAAGATGACGGGATTGACTGGGCAACTGCGCGGAAGAAGTCTAGCATGTATTGGAGAGAAAGGGGATCATGGTCAACCGGGTATACGTCTCCCTCGTGGAATGCACCCATATGTCCATCGGGAAGCAGTCCGTTGGGGAACAGGGACAGAAGAACGAATTCGGGAAGAGTAAGCAGCTCATCACGGGAGAGAGTAAATCTCATGCCACGCAAGTCTAGCGTTATATGCTCATCTCCACCGATATCTCCAAGTGAATTAAGCGGTGGTCCGCCAGTCTGCTGGACCTGTGTGATGATGCTTGAAGCCCCCCCTGCGGCAGCCATGACGTATGTAAAGGACTGGAGCGGGATGGACCCCTCGGTGTAAGGAGGTGGAGGCTCGCCGTCGTCCTGACCCTTGCCAGACGACTTGCCTTTGTCTCTGGAAAGCTCGGCCTTGGTCTCAGTTACTACACGAGGAGTGACAGGCGACGAAGACGGTGAGGCTTCCTCGAACGGAGGCGCTGGAGCAAAAGTGGGAAGTGAAGAAGCCCCTGATTCGGTTACTGAGGTGTTGAATTGGTCGGCGTCTTCGTGGTCCGCGCTCGAATATAGAGACGAGAATGAAGGCGGGAGAGGTGAAGGAGGGCTGGGGGAAGAAGGTCCCGACGGTAAAGGGTTGGGAGGAGGGGGGGGATTGCTGCGTGAATTATTGTTATCCACGGTGGTGAGAGTCGGGTAGTTCGCGACTTGAGCTGCACCCCTAAAAGGCGAGCCTGGAAATGGTTGAACGAAGGAAGAGGTAGATAACGGGCTTCGCTTGCAGCCCCGTTCAGCAGACGGCCCTTCTGGCGTCTTTCTCCAAACTGTCAGATATGCAGACAGGAGATAGTCGGTGGTTGCGAGTGAAGATGCTCCTCGACCATGGGTGGCGCTTATAACTAATTAAGATAGGGATCGTTCGAATGCGGCGGCTCTCAGGAAGATATTAACGGGGCGAGTAAGGCAGACCGGGTAATAAAAAAGACCAACCAGCTCTTCTAAGGTGCTAAAAAGGACGTTAACGGGTGGAAGAAGTTGTTGTATTGTCTTCTCCTGCTTCTTCTTCCTTTTGCTGTCTTGACGGTTTGCTGGAAGCGCCTTCAGGTCACGTGGAAGTCACTTTTTTAACCAGTCGAGGATGACAGTAGAAGATGTAGATGATGATAATATCAGAGCTGGAGGAGGTATTCCGGTTGTCTGGTGAGTATATAGATATAGGGAGTCCGATGGGTGTATATTCTTGGGTATCTGAGCCTGAAGAGTGAGTCTCTTGGAATATATAACAATATTTATAGCTGCAACGTTGGTCTCATAGTTCAAGGGTGACCCTTTGATGCATGATAGCTATTAAAGAGGGAAGAAAGATATCACAGTGTCATGGTACTTTTAACACATTTTATAAGGATCCATGTTGATCGGAAATATATATAAGAGAAGAAGAAGAAGAAGAGAAAAGAAGAAAGCTTTTATGTTTGATCCTTCTGGCTTAGTCGTCTGGATGACATTGTTACGTGAATAACTACAGAGTATCATCTCTATATCATGTGTATGGTCAGACACAGGCTGGATAAGGGATGTCTGCACCATGTAGGACACGCAGACTTGGGTTAGATAGCTGAAAGATGGGCCAAATTAGGCATATAAATAGAATAGAACGAGAGGCTATTAAATATGTCCGAATTTCGCTCAATTGCCTGAAGGGGTATTCTAATATAATGATATTAAGGTAAAGCTCTATGGAGTACGACTCCCTTCTGCCTCTTCTAACCAACCCCAGAAAACGCGTCAAAAAGCCTAGCCAAAGAGGTGTATGTCAAAATCGTGGCGGAAGAAACAATCGGGAGGATTGGGTATTCGGCGATCAACAATCTGGGATTTCCAAAGGAAATTCCCATAAATGGCAGTACTGTCTTCTTCTCGTTGGGGGTTGGAGGTCTCGTCAATATATTTAAGCGAGGGATGCCCACCAAGAGAGTAAGCGTATTGCTGCCGCCGAGGACTTGAAGGATCCCCTGGCAGTCAGGCTTCAAGAGAGGTTGCTATTTGATTTAGAAGTGGACGTATATAGAGAGAGGGCTCCATAAAGTATCATAACTTACCGGTATCATCGTGGCTAGCCGGGTCAATGGCAATGGTAGTAGGCGTACTTCCCGATACTTTGCTTTGTTCTGGGTAGAAGGGGCCGCCGGGGTGTAAGGGCTGTTGCACCTGAAAGGTCCATTAGTTAGGGGCAAAACGAGCGTGAAGTCGGGAAAACGTCTCAGTTCCAGTACCAGTAACGAACGTGGCGTGGGTGGTCGGGCCGTAGGAAAACTATGAGTGAGTACTGACTTTGCGGAACTCATCACCGTCGACGACAATTTCGCGGTCACGGAGTTGTCTCATCAATGCAAGGAAGTTACTCTCTTTGAATTTCTGGCTTTGATCGTGGCTCACGCGGTCAAGTAGTTCCCCTGCAGTCCTTGAAAGTTCATCAGACTCATTCACCCCTTCAAGCTGGGCGGGTATGTTGTCAGAGCCGATTCTAATGGTTTCAACAGGCACAGATGTCTCTAGTTCTAAATGCTCCTGCCGTGTGGATTCCTGTAATTCGACTTCTGCTCGAGCTTCTGCAAACGCAGCTTCAAACGCAGAATCGTCAAACACTTCAGCAGGCTTTGACCGTAAGCTTTCAGTCGTGGCTGGTACAAAGTTATCTGGCCGAGCAAACCCGGGGTTGCCTAGCATACCCATGCCGGGGCGGTAGGCCATGCCCCCCTGGAACATGGCAGACTGCGCGGTTTGTTGTACCCCATGTATTGGTTCATGATGTCTGCTCGTTGAGTTGGCTTGTAGCGTAGGCGCGTCCGCTTTGATCTGGGTAAGCGGATGCTGTGACGTATGTCCGGCTATATGTAAATTTTGGAAGTCGGTAGCCCAACTTGAGACATCTACGTTGGGTTGAGATGCAAACTGAGGATGCGGAGGTAAGAAGGTATTGAGATTAGGCTGGTCCACCAGTAATGGAGCTGAATAACCGGCTTCAAAGGCGCTGAACTCTCCATCTAATTGCCCCGGGGTTTGGGTATTCGATCGAAAGCCCTACAGGAAAAGCAGGCAGAGTTAATGCAAAACCTACTATCTAATGAGAAGAAGGTCGTCTTACCTGAGCAGGAGACTGTCGTGATGATATTCTATCCTGCTGGAGTGTTCGGTCTACTGATGCATGCTTCTGGAAGTTCTGTAGGGCATTTGAGGGCCCGCAAAGTGCATCCGCCATGGTTATAGCTTATATCGTTATCAGAAGGGATAGCAAAGTTGCGACAACTCTTTGCGCCTTAGCAGAGAGAGTTTGCTTTATATAGAGACACTGGCGTGTCTTGAGGCTTGAATGTATCAGAGTGAACGCGGAAGATGAAGAAAGCGAAGCGTGAAAGTGAAAGCAAGACCATCCACATGCTATTCACATCGCCGAAAGAGGAAGAAGAGAAGAAGAGAAGAGCGAGGGTGGCCCGTGACCCGAGGTTGAGCCGAGGCTTATTCCTAAAGAGGAAAGGTGTCGGACCTCGGATTATCCTATCTCCATTTGCCGATTAGATAAGATCATATGTGGCTGACGAGTTATCACGTGACTATGGCACGGGCCTCTTTGTGGCTTGTTTTCTTTTTGATGCCAGTTCGACCACATCGAACAAGCCAAAGTTGACAAAGCTAAGAGAAGAGGATTGTTGAACCTTTATTCTCCCCTTGTTTTACTCTGCTGTTGCGCCAATTGATCGAGAGGGTATCAAGGATTATTGATATAGATACGCAAGATGGCAAGAATATATACCTCCTGGTCTTTCTTACGATCCTCCCCGCTAACTGATACAAACAGGCCCAGGTGATAACCAACTCGGGTCATGATGACATGATTGTACGCCCCTCTCATCGCCATTATAAAGGCCCCACGACCGTTACAGCTGCGTCAAGGGGGGGTGCTAATCAGCTTTGGATAGCACGATGCCGGCCTCGATTACTTCGGGCGGAAGCTCGCGACATGCTCCTCAGATAAGACCGTCAAGATCTTTGAAATCGAAGGAGAGTCACACAGGCTTCTCGAAACACTTAAAGGGTAAGAGTGGCTAATTATGTGGCCTTAAAAGCTCACTTATATGCGTGCTGAACGTTGTTTATAGGCACGAAGGAGCGGTTTGGTGTGTTGCCTGGGTATGTAGCCATATATATATATATATATTTCAAGGGGCCTGAAGCCATGGCTAAACCGCGGAACTGTCACAGGCACATCCAAAATTCGGCACAATACTAGCATCATCTTCGTACGATGGAAAAGTCCTCATATGGCGCGAACAAAGTGTTGGCAGCGGCGCGACCTCATCTCCCTCCTGGAGCAGGGTTTTCGACTTCTCCCTCCACACTGCTTCTGTAAATATGGTATGCTGGGCACCACATGAGCTCGGCTGCCTACTCGCCTGCGCCTCCTCCGACGGACAGGTCAGCGTGCTTGAGTTCCGTGATAATAGCTGGACACATCAGATTTTCCACGCCCACGGGCTCGGGGTCAACTCTATCAGCTGGGCACCGGCCGCGGCCGCCGGGTCAATCATAAGCGCCAATTCAGGTGCTGGCCAATCGCGAAGATTCGTCACCTGTGGAAGTGACAATCTTATATTCATATGGGATTACAAGTATGTACCTCCGCTTTCTCACTTTGAACCCGTAATTAACCGACTACACCTGTCTAGCTCCGAGACCAAGACGTATTCTGCCTCGCAAACCCTCCAGGGCCATACCGACTGGGTCCGTGACGTAGCGTGGTCCCCTAGCATCCTGTCCAGGTCCTACATTGCCTCTGCATCCCAAGACAAGACTGTACGAATCTGGACTTCTGACCCATCGAAGCCTCAAGAGTGGACGAGCGAGAAACTTGAATTTGACACCGTCGTCTGGCGCGTCAGCTGGAGCCTAAGCGGTAACATCCTTGCTGTCAGCGGCGGTGATAACAAGGTTAGTTTGTGGAAAGAAGACCTGAAGGGTAAATGGGAGAAGGTCAAAGATATCGAAGAGTGAGAAAAAGAAAGGGAAGGGGAGAAAAAAAAAGGAACCTGGCTCTGAATATGACTTCATTTTAATTCCCGACTGCTTTTAATAAATTCTGTGCTTGTCCTTTTTGGAGTTTTAGTTAAGACGGGTGGGAAATCGTATTGTCGGAGCGGCTGCTTCGTTTTTTTTTTTTTTTTTTTTTTTAATTATATTCATTTGATTATTGCTGAAGGGCTTCCGCTCATAGATGAGCTTGGCCTGGCGTAGGCTCACGACAGCCAGATTCAACGGACAGAGTACTCCTATTACCCTGGTGAAATATCTCATGAATCTACATACACACCAACTATATTCCATTCCACAATCAAGAAATCTAATCGATTCTTCCAATTTCAGCTTCAATTTGATCTTCCCGTCCAGCCACCAACCGCATCCTAACCATAGGAAAACATCTACGTCGAATAGCGAAAACAAAACCATAAAACAAGAGAATGGTATAAGCCCATCAAAACCCACCATCCGGCACAAGAGAAGAGAAGGCTGATATCAGAAATGAAAATTTTGTATAAACTGCGGGCAAAAAGGGGGGGGGGGGGGGGGTGCGATTAGGAGATAAAAGGCCAGATCGAAAAAGAAGTAACGTCAGTTATCCAACCCGCCTCCCCAAACGGATAAATATCTATAAATATGAAAAGAAAGCGAGCGTGTTGTAGTTTATGTAGTAGGCAAAAGAGGAGGGGGGCATCACATATCAATCGAGTCGTTAAATCGTAGCACGCCGGTCTCGCGCATAATTCCGTTGACGTTGCCTGGCATGCGGAAGAGGGTATCATTTGCCCCCCCAAAGCCAGCCGAACTTGCTGAGCTGGTGTTTTGCTGCCGGCGTCTCTCGGCGCTTTCGTCAGATGTATCTGCAATTAGCACGAGGCCGAGCTCCTTTATGGATTCGGCCAGCGAGGGCATTACGTTCTAAAAAAAAAGGTCGATGGGGTTAGCTTGTTGGTTTAAATGAAAGGGGCACAGAGAGTGAGACAGGAGGCTTACGAGTAGGCTTGATCGGCACATTAGGCCCATGAGATTATTGCTTTGGGCGATACGGGCGGATTCTTTGATGGATAGGGAAGCGCGACCGCTGTACTGGATTGCCGGAGATGAAGAGGGTGGAGGCGAGGCTGGAGAGTGAATATTGCTATTTGAGTCTCGGGATTGGCCCAGGTCGTTGCATAGCAGGACGGGATCTAGGTGACGTTAGCAAGCACTACTCGATTAAATAGTATATGGGGCGAACTGCGAAATGGGCTTACAATTTGGCTGCTTCCAGTTCAAAGCCACACATATGCCAACATTATAACTTGTGAAAACGACGGATCGCATAAAGTCCGGGTTGGCCAGCCTCGACGCACGGGCGTGATCGAAGACACGCGTGAGAATGGCATCGGCGAAATTGTTGATATTGAAGGTGAGGCGGAGGTCGAGCTCTTTCTGCTCAGCGGGGGATGGGTAGAGGATGCATAGGTTTACATGGATGGAGGTTGGTAGGTGAAGGAGGACTTCTTCGAGGGTCAGGAAAGAGGTGGCAAGGAGACGGTGGGCGGTTGGCATGTCGGTTATAGACATTGCAGCGAGGGAAGGGAGGAGGGAATTGGTAGAGATGTTGTCAGAGTCCGACAAGGACGAGGTGGCTGGGGCGTATTCACGGCCGATGGCCTTGAACTCTTCGATGGATAGATGTGAGATGGGTATGCGGACATTGTGATGCATGATCGTGAATTCCGGATAGAGAACTGGGATCAGGTCTCTTGTCATCTGGACGAATATCTGGACGTAGTCGCCTGACAGACTGGAACCGGTAACCTGTCCGTTGTGCTCAGCGTCGAAGGGGCTGGTGGCTTTCCAGTAGGTTGCAAAATGCGTGATCTCCAGCGGGTCTCCGTAGTAAGGCTTAATGACCTGAAAGTTGAAGCGGATTTCGCCAATGGCTCTCAGCCGGGGGTCAAAGACGGGGAGGCAGCAGTGGCCGGAGCTTCGGCCGTCGTTCTCAAAGACGTCAGGCAGGGCAACCGTTTTGGCGATGACCTTGGAGCCAAAAGTCGGGAATATCTCAAAGTCGATGGCGAAGTTTTCCAGCCTATCGATGTGGAAGGATATGAAGCGGGAGTCTTCCTGCAGAGGCAGCATGACGTTACGGGGGATCAGGTCCGTCATCTTGGAGGAGATGGTCAGTCGGGCAGCGGCATAGCGTCCGGTCTGGTAGAAGACGATGGGGTCCGCGGAGGGGGGGTTGAAGTGAATCTGCACAAAGGTCTTGTTATCCAGGAAGTTGTGGCCGTAATGGCGGAGTGGGATGATGGGAGGGGGAAGGGAGAGGTCCGGGATGCCGTCCACCTCGAGAGCAGGAATATGCTTCTTCTCGTCGCTCATGGGGGTAAGGGTGGCGGTTATGGCATCGCGGCCCCTGGATCCGTTGAGGACGTCGAGAGGCGTCTGTCCGGGGATGGGACGGGAAGTTCGTTGAGACCAGAGCAGGTTCATGCATGCCAGATGGCCCTCCCAGACGGCATAGTACATGGCCGGCAGGCCCTTTTCGTCCAGGGCGTCTGCGTCGACACCGCAGTCGAGCAGAGTGCGTAGACAGCCCACGCATCCTTCGGCGGCGGCATGGAAGAGGGGGGTCCACTGGTACAGCTTATCCCGCTGGTCGAGGTCGGCGCCGTGGTCCTTGAGGAGCAAGAGCACGGAAGAGGAGCGACAGGAGCGGGCAACGAGGTGCTGGGGATAGAGGCCCTCAGCGTCCGGCAGGAACTTTGCGTCTCGTTCGAGGAGGATCCTGATCAGGGCGAGGGAGGCATGCTGGCAGGCGAGGTTTAGTGGTATGTGATCTGACTCGGAAGCCGGGTTGATTCGGGCGTTGTGGGAGAGCAGCTGCTCGACGCAGGAGACCTGGTCCTTGATGATGCTGTGGATGAGCGGAGTGAAGTTGTCGTGGTCGGTGAAGTCGATGGTCGACAGGCCCTTCTCGAGCAGGGTGTGTACCATGCCGACCCGGCCGTGCATGCAGGCATAATGCAGCGGTATTCGCCCGTAGACGTCGGCCTGTGAGATGTCGACGCCACGCTCGAGGGCGGCATCGAAGACGAACTGGCGGCCGGAGATGACGGCTTCGTGCAGACAGTTGCGTTCGTTGATGTCGTCCTCCGCATGTACGTCGACGAGGTTGGTCTCCAGCAGCAGGGTGAGGACCTCGTCCGGGTACTCGTTGACGGCGGTAAGGAAGATGCGGGTGAGATGGTCGGCCGCGTCGGCGGAGAGCTGGATCTTGCTGAGCCAGTCACGCAGGGGCTGGAGGTTGCCCGTCGCGGCCGCGGAGTTGAGGATGTGCAGGTCGCCGTCGTCTTCTTCCACGATGCTGGCGGGCCGGTCGTTCTGGCGAGGGGTGTTGAACTGGATGTTTTCCCCCTCTGCCCACGCCTCGAGCTCGAGCCTGGCCGTCGTGGCACGGTCTGAGAGGTCACGGAGGACTTCCCGGTTGAAGCATGGCTGCACCTCGACCGCGCGCTGCAAATAGAGCTCTTTTGTCCGTGACTACAGATTGTTAGATGCAGCAGATGCGGCGACGTAACACACAACGCACCTTGGACGTTTTATCCCACTAGAAACCGTTAGCATCGTAGTATAACATTAGATCAAGGAGGTTTTTTTTTTTGTACCTTCTTCAGGATCTTGGACACGGCGGTCTCGTTGACCTCCACGAATTGCTTATGAGCACCGTCAGCACCGTCAGTCACGCAGGCATCACGCAGTGATATCCAGCACCCACCTGCAGCTTGTTCAAATCTCCATCGAACTGCTGGAAGCCCTCGATCAAGGCCACGAAGTTGGCGGGGGCCTTTGAATTCGACACCGTCCGCCGCGACTGGATGACCCGCTGCTTGTCGAGCAAGGTCTTGAGGCGGAGGGAGAACTCGGCCTCCTTTTGCAGGTAGAAGACGTTGACCTTTTCGATCTCGCGCTCCAGGCGGAAGAAGAAGACCTCCTTGTTTGCGCGCAGGGCGGCTTGGGCGTCCAGCACGTCTCCCGTCGGTTCCTGCGTCGCTCCCTGGGCGGGGATGGTGGGCGTCGCGCTGAGTTGTTTGATGAGCTGCCACCGTCAGCATCCAGCCGGCACATGAGCTTAGCGTGTAGGGCGTACCTTTTTGAGTGCCTTGTAGTTGAAGAAGCTGGCTGCGTACTCGGGCAGGTCGAGCTGGCGACGCTGGATCTGCTTGCCGAACTTCATGCTGAGACTCGCCTCGTCTCGTCTCTTGTCTATATCTTCTATATCTTCAACTTCTTCTTCTCTTCTTCTCTTCTATCTTCGACTTCTTCTTCTCTTCAACTTCGACTTCAACTTCGACTTCAACTTCGACTTCTCGCGGGGCAAAAAGTCGAAGTCGCAAAAGAAGAAGAAGCGCGGGCCAATAGAAGAAGCCAGATCAGGCAGCTGGTTAAGGCCAAGACGATGACCTCACACTATTTAACCTTATATTCACTACTATTATATACTTCTACTTCTCTACTACTCTTCTACTATATACTCTGGTTATACTTCCCTACTATTATATACTCTGGTATACGTTATTGTGTGAAGAAATGGTATTACTACATCGACAGATTAAGACCAAGAGAAGCACAATTCTGTACAGCGTGCTTTGCCAGGAGGAAGTAAAGGGAGATATAAAAGATATATAAAGAAGACAAGAAGAAGACGGAAAGGATGCGAAGCTAGAAGTTCTGGGCTATGCCGGCATTCCCCTGCTGCGGAAAGACGCTGGGGCTCTCGATGCGGGTGTTCCGCCGGGCGGAGACGTCGCGGATGACCGGCTGGGGTCCAAGGCCGGCCTGGTCGTGGCCGTGGCCGTGGGAGTAGCCCTGGCCGCCGTCCGGGTAGTAGGCGCTCTCCTCATAGTACTGCGCCCCCGAGGGGGCGCCGGGAGGCATCATGTCGTCGGACATGTCTGACTGGGCGCCGGCAGAGTACGCCGAAGATGCATTCGACAGGCCACGGTGGATGTTGCTCGTGTTCTGGTTCGGACTCATCTGGTTCGGACTCATCTGGTTCTGGGGTTGCAGTGGCTGCTGCTGCTGCGGCTGCTGGAGCGGGGGCTGGCCGATGTGGAGGGCCTTGGGGATGCCGCCGGTGGGTTCGTGCACGCGGCCCAGTCCCTGGCGCTGCTCGTCGTCGGCCAGCTGGAAGGTTTCCTCCACGGGCGAGACCTCGCGCGCGTACAAGGCGCTGCTGTCCGCACCGCCGCTGGAGGCCGTGTTGGTGGGCGCATGGCGGGAGTTGCTCGTCGTGCCCCAGCCGCGGTACCCTCCGCTCGCTGCAACGGCGCCAGACGCGGCAGAGGTGTCCTTCATGGCCACGTCCGTGTCGTACATGCCCACCGCAGGCAGCGTGGGATCGTTGTTCGGGTTGAAGCGGTACTCCTCGATCTCCTGCTTGCGCTCTTCCTCCGCCAGCTTGCGGGCCTTGCGCTTGCGGTACCAGAACAGCAGCGCGATGATGATGAAT